GAATTAAGTTGGTGTGTGTTATTGTGCACATTCCACCCAATATACATTTTTTACATACAGTTTCATATGTCCCTTTGCACTGGTGTCCATTGGGACTGGTCGGGCAGGAGGTAGGGAGACCAGCAGTAGGGAGCTAATAATAGGCAGAGACAATTAATTCTAGTTATGTACCCATCCTCCTCTCAGCTAAGTTCTACAAAGGCAACTCAGAGCATAAGAAGAAGGGAGCCAACACTCAGTGGCACCCCCTGTGCAAGTTTTAAGTAAAAGGGCAAGCTGGTGGAGGGGCTAGCCATGGGCAGAATATTGGTAGGTCAGTGCCCCATTCACCCTAACCAACCAACCTCCCCTGCATTTGTTTATACATTTTTGCAAACAATTCTCATAACCTAATGCATTTTTAAAATGCACGTTTTGTGTGTATATGCACTGTTCTCTGATGTACATTCCTTTTTAGATGTGTTTTATCTCACCTGATGGACTGCAAATTTGGAAGGATAACTAAGGCTCATTTCACATATCTGTTTGAGAAACACAAATTAGGTAGGCACACATCAAAATGTTCACTGAACCCACTCTCACCCCCATATCCCTGGCAGGAACTGCTTCTCTCTCTTTTTTTATTTTTTAGGTTTGGGAGGTTCACTTAAGTTAATTGTTGTACATGAGTTGGAAAGAGGGAAGGAAAGAATAGAGGGAATTCGTATAATGCAGGTGGCTGTTAGAGAATAATGGTCCCAGTGAGTGGCATGTGCGAGTCCTTCCATTTAGTGGGCAAAGGAAGCAGCGGTGTTGGACTGATATGTTTAACACACAGGCAGCTAATGAGCAAGCAAGCATCACATTTATCCACCAAAACCCGATTTCCCCCCTCCTTTGCACAGTAGGAGTGATTGCATTATGAAGGGCTTCAGCTCCATAGTTTCTAATTTAAGAATAAATGACCTAATTAGGATTGTTGCAGAGAATCAGAGTGAGAGGGAGCTGATTGTGCACCGGGTATCATCCACATACAATGTGCAATGTTCAGTTTCACTTTGAAAAGCTGGTGCAATTTTCAGATGGGAGATATTACCCCAGGATTTGGGGGGCAAGGTGGAAACAGTCTCTCACACTGCTTCAGAGTTTCTCCCCCTTGACATTTCCTGCTGAATTTGCAGGTTTTAATTACCTACTGCCTGGTACCTACTAAAAAGAGGAGAAGGGAGCTTCATGGAATGATAAGCTTCATTTCACCCCTTTTAGTTTAATCTAGAGCTAGAGGTTTCTTGTTCTCGAGTTTGACCAAGCTACGGGAGGCTGTGAAAGACAGGAGTGCCTGTTGTGCTCTGGTCCATGGCGTCACGAAGAGTCGGACACGACTAAATGACTAAACAACTAAACAACAACAAAGAGGTTTCTAACCTCCTACCTGAGAGTCCAGGATCCATCTCATCCCAGGGACTATTCAAGCAGCTAATATACATTGGGATTGTCCAACTAAGTCCTAGTTAAAGTAGACCCACTGAAATTGATAGACCTATCAATGGTTCCTGATATTGGCTACAGACCATGTTAAACTTCCCTATACTGGATTCTCAGATATCCTTGGGGGAAAGGACATGGCTCAGCCATAGACCATCTGCTTTTGCATACAGATGTTCCCGGGTTCAATCCCAGGCATCTCTAGGAAGAGCTGGGAATGTTCTCTGCCTGAGGTCCTGGAGAGCCACTCCCAGTTCACATAGACAATGTCAGATGGACCAGTGGTCTGACTCAGCTTAAGGCAGCTTCTTATGTTCCTATGACTCCCCTTCTTTGCTCCAGTTGTTCCTTCTAGTTTCACCTCTCAACTGACTGAGCTGACACTAGCTCACCACTGAATCGGCCACCTGGATCCTCCTAGTTTCAGTCCAAAATGGAGTTCCTCTTACTGCCCTTGGTCTCCAGTGTGGTAGTGCTCTTTATCGCCAAAGCCCCTGTTCCTAATCCTGTCCTTCCTCCAGTGCAGTTTCTGGCTTGAAACTGCTGCTTTCTGTCTGCCACTGTCTGCACCCACTCTTTGTATGGCCACAGTGTGGATAAGAGTGTGACAGGCATACAGCTGCTACCACACAGCCCCAGCATACTGGTCTATTCTTCTGGTGGTGCTGGAAGATGCAGAACATGGAGAATGGCACCACCAAGTGGAACCATCCATGGCTCCCTTTTTCATTTTCTGAATGTTGCGGCAGCCACTGTGCATGCCTAGTCTGCTACACCTTTCCACCCCCCCCACTTCATTTGCAATACTGATACATATTTGCAATAATGATAGATCAAACACTGCAAAACACACACACACAGAGAGAGGGGTTTCAAGGCCTGGTCTGACACTTTGGAGCAGCTGCGATCCAATCCAGAATTACCTGAGGCTGACCTGACACCAGCGGCCGAGGAAGCCACTTGGGCGCCTGGGGCAGTGCGACCAGGGGCGGGGCGAACTACCCATAGGGGCAGGGTGCACCACGGGGCCTCCAGAGTCTTCCTGCCTCCTCCCACTCAGCTGCCCTACAGCTGGGGGGGGAGGCAGCAGGAGAGATGCATGGCTCGGGCGCGCTGCAGGCCCATAAGTGCCGCCTGGCATTTTGTCACCCCCCTCAGTGGTGACACCCAGGGCAGCCTGCACCCACCACACACCTCTTCCTCCACGCCTGCCCGAAACATATCTGGGCCCTGAACTGATTCAATTAAAACATAATAACTTAATATTTGCCAACAAAAGTTTTTAATGCCAAGCCAGTTCTGAATCAAGTCCATCACTAAAGAGAATGGGTGATTGATATGTGGAGATTAAAGTGGGGGAGTGGGAAGGAAGCTGGAAAGTCTCCAGTGCCTGCTTTCTCTTGTTTTCTGGACATCTATGTTATACCATACATATACTCAATAAGCAGGAGTGTCAATTCCCTGAGTACAGTGGTACCTCGGGTTACAAACACTTCAGGTTACAAACTCCACTAACCCGGAAGTAGTACCTCGAGTTAAGAACTTCGCCCTAGGATGAGAACAAAAATCAAGCAGTGGCGGCAGCGGGAAGCCCCATTAGCTAAAGTTATACCTCAGGTTAAGAACAGTTTCAGGTTAAGAACGGACCTCTGGAACGAATTACGTTCGTAACCCAAGGTACCACTGTACCAATCTCTATATCACCAAAACACCATTCACCCCAGTTTGTAGGAGACAGAAAATCTTTGGGGGGGGGGTACCTAATGGTGTGTGTGATTGAGATTGGTGGGGCAGTGCCTCATCAGTCCCAATGGACCAGTCTTCACTGCTGATGGATAATGTGGGGGTCGAGGGTCGGAATGGAGCATCCTGAACAAAAGCACTCTACACTGTGAATGCTGTTACACTTCCCACGTGTGCAAAATGGAACTTTCCAAAATGGAAGTTTCCAATCCCTGCTTTCCAAAGAGGGCTGTGTTCAATGTTAGTCCTGTCAGAATAGAACCAATCAGATAGAGGGACATGACCAACTTAGGTACATTACTTTCATTGGGTCTACTCTACAACTTAATTGGATACAACCCTCAAGCTGCCTTCTCAATGGGATCTTTTGCTTTTCATTGTGTGTGAATATGCATACACACATGCAAACACGTGCTCACATGCACACATACCACATAGATCTTATTGTGAGGCACAGAAACAGGAAGTGTGAGGTACATCCACTTCCTGGCTTCACCCACAGCTCTGACTGTGAAACACTTGCTACAACAGAGGTACAGATTTATTTATGTATTAAAAAAACCCTTTCTTGTAAGCATTTAGCTAATAAATGTTGAAACATGCTTCAGGTTTTATGCAAAAAAGAAAAAAAAGAAAAAAAGTGCCAAATCTCCCCAACTCCTTGTATTCATAGCCTGGCACTATCTGATATTGGAGGAGCAAGTAGATAAAAGGGCTTATCAAATGAATGTTTATGAGAACCAAACTTGAAAGAAAATAATAATAATAATAAAAATATGAAGACAGATTGAAAAGAAAGCCAAGCTCCCTGTTGTGTTTTGTTTAATGTTTTTCCAATTTTGATCCATTCATTTGGCAAATGGCCTGAACTCACCATGAATTAAATAACTATGTGTGCTGTGCCAAATGTTTGAAGATTCCAGACTGCCATGGGGAGAGGAGAGTGGGCCTCTTATACGTGGATTTGTGTTGCAGATGAAATTGGCTGGTTCACCGGGGTTTGGGTGAAGGACACTGAGAAGGTGGAGGGCTTGTCTTTATTGGAAGTTTTTAAGCAAAGGTTGGTTGGCCATCCTTCACGGATATTTTAGTTGAGATTCCTATGTGGCAGGGGGTTGGACTAGATGACCCTTGAGGTCTATGATTCTATGGTCTATTTTCTAGGTGTTCTGAACAATAATGAGAACCAGTGTGGTGTAGTGGTTAGAGTGTTGAACTAGGACCTGGGAAGCCAGGGTTCAAATCCCTACTCAGCTGTGAAGCTTACTGGATGACCTTGGGCCAGTCACTGTCTCTGAGTTTAGGTCCCCCTGTTGTTGGAATGAAATGAGGAGAGGGAGAACCATGTATACCACCTTGGGGTCCTTGGAAGAAAAGTTGGTATATTAATGTAATAAATAAATATGAAGTTGATACATGTGTGCTGCTGGTGCCACTGGAAATCATCTTTGTATACCAGCCATGGTACAGAGCTGCTTGAAGATTCATTTGTGTAATGAACCCTGCCTGGGGTTTGTCTTTGCAGGGGAGGGTGTGGAGCAATCCAAGCGATTTTTATTGAGAGCAAGGGGTGAACAACACAGGACTGTTATTTTCTTGCATGCACCCACAAAGCAGTCTAGTCAACCCAAGAACAGACTGTACATGTACAAAATATCAGTTCACATCTTGAACTGGAAAACAACCTCTAGGGGAAATGAGCTAGAAGGCTCTGTGGCATTAGACTTCTAGATTAATGCTAGATCATTCAAAGTTTGTGGGTTCAAGTTCCAGCAGGGCCATGGTTGGGAGTGGGTCATGGCTTAATGGTAGAGTTTCTGCTTTGCATGCATAAGACTCCTGGTTTAATCTCTAGGTAGGGTTTGGGAGATAACATTCTCTGAAACAGCTGGAGAGCTGCTGCTGGTCAGTGTAAAGACTACTGAACCTACATGGGCCAGTGGTATTACTCGATTTAAGGCAGCTTCTTATGTTGCTACAGCACAACCACTAAGATTTGTTTGAAGATTTTGGGGAAGGGCTGTAGCTCAGTGATGGAGTATTTGCTTTGCTTGCTGGAGGCCCCAGATTCAATCCCAGGCATTTCTAGGTTGGGCTGGGAGAGAACCTTGACTGAAGTCCTGAGGAATCTTCTGCCCATCAGGCAATGCACTGCTAGCTGATCCAATGGCAGCTTCCTATGATCCTATGATGTTTGATTAGCAATACCCTGAGCATTACAATCTGAATAAACTCTGAACAAGGCGATTATGAACATTGGCAGCATCTCTTAGTAGTCTTTCCAACATTGCAGCGACAGATCTACTGGCAAACGTTAGGGGAAAGCAACTGAGTGCTATGGGATAGCTTAGTCAGTGAAACCAACTGCCACTCTTCCACTTATACAAACATCTTGGAGACTTTTGAACAAAACTGAACCGGACAGGTGCATTTCTTCATATGCAGACATTTATGATGAAGTGAGCAAAAGATTCCTTTTATTAACCAGCCACAATCCCTGCTCTGGGTGTTAGAAATGTCTCATTCTTTCTTTGTAGCCTGGAGGGAAGATTTAGCTGCTGACAACAGGCACATACAGAGACAACCCCTCCTCTGTGCTGCTTCTCCAAGCTCTTTACCACACACAAAAACCACTGACATCTTAGGTGGCATTGTGATTCCTTGTTCATTGCTCCTGCCAAAACCAGCTGTGCTGCCCCATTGCCTGTGGCAGGTGAAACAAGGCAGTGAGGTGAGAGACAGCACACCTAGAGACAACCATGCAACTGTCACTGCATTAGCTCTTTCCTGTTCTCAAGCTAATGGCTGGGTCTTTGGGGAAAATAATGCCAGAACAGGAAACATTTTTTGCTTGCAGCCCAAACCTAGGAACATTGGAATCTGTCATACTGTGACAGACCATCCATCCCTCAAGCTCAGTGTGGTTCTTTCCCAGTCCTACCTGGAGATGCTGGGAACTGAACTTGGGAACTTCTACATGCAAGACAGGTGCTCTACCCCTGGAGAACCTCCTAAAAGACACACAAAGGCCAGGTTCCTCTAGGCCTCTCCATCTGGCTCTTGGCATTCTGCCCAGGACATGCCTCCTCGCCCAGGTCACACTCCTCAATGGGCTTGCTCTGAAGCCTAATCCAGTGTTTTTTACCTAGCTGGAATGTGTACTTGAACTGTGCTAATGCACCTTCACTTGCCTGGATGAAGAGTGAAGTGTGTCTGGCCACACCCAGTTTTGCCCCACCCAGGTTTGCCCTGGCACATGGCCCCAAAGAGGTTGCCCACAAGGGACTGTGGCCCTTAGACTGAAAAAGCTCCCAACCCAGGACGAAGAAGACACTACTGGTAAAATCAATGCTTCTATCACAGTGAACCAAAGTTGTTGGGATGTGGCCTATAATATGATTGACTGATTTCCATTTGACAGCTAGCTAATCCCCTCTTGGATTCCGGGAGTGCTTGCAGTAATCAATAATAGGGAAGTCCATGTCCTCAAGTTTACAATTTAAATGACATGACACAATCTGGCACCATCTGTTGCCCAGAAAAGGAACAACTGCAGTGATCTTCCTGTGAACTGCCCTGGGTATCGGGTGGTATATAAATTCAAATCATCATCATCATCATCATCATCATCATCTACCCACCACCACCATCCTATATGATAATAAACACTTATAAGAAAGTTGTAATGAAGTAGTGCCTGGGTTTACTTTTTTCCTTCTCTATCTCAATTATTTTATCCTTTTGTATTGTGTCATTTAAATTGTGAGGACTTTCCTGTTATTGATCATTGTAAGCATTCTGGAAGCCCCCTCTTCTTTTGGCCGAAGAAATGCTTTAAGCAAATAAATAAACACACTTCATGCCTATCATGGTATGGGATATTGAAAGGGTTTCAGAAGCCTTCCTAGGGATAAATAAAACCATCTGTTACTCTTCATTTTGCCTGCTGTCCCTCAATTACATCAGGATCTGAGTCACTATTTGCTATCCTATTGGGTCCAGAGAATGAGCAACACCTGACTTTTAATAAACTGTGACAATCTGCTATCAGCTGTAGGCGCTGTAGATCAACCTTGTGTGACTCAGTTTCTGGGAGTGATGAATCACGAGGGGAGCAAAGATATGAAAATCCTTTCAGTCCATACAAATAAAAATAAGATGTGCTTTTTAAAATGCTATGTTTGGGATGTATGAGCCACACTCTCATAATCCATCACCCAAAATAAACCAGTTTTATTTAGCATCTGCGTGACAGCAAAAGAGGACCAATATATATGTGTGTATTTATACACAGTGCACAGTGGTGTGTCTCATTCACTCCATTCTTCCTCTTCAATTTTCTTTTGGATTGGGAGGGTAGTTTTCTGTTCATAACCCCCATATCACGATGGAATGAACACAGAGACGAAACTGAATTAGAAGGGGTGCACGGCTTTTGTAACTTGGCCTTGCACCTAATGAATTGTAGTCACTGAACAGAAGTTCTTATTGACCCAGGCCTCTTAATTTTAGTTTTGATCTGTCTCCTTCTAGCCACAGCTGTGTATCTACCCTTTACTCACAGTTGCTCTCCCTCTCTTTCTGATCTGGGATAACCTTCAGTAATCTATGCACCATAACCAGGGAGTCTTGGTTTCTTATTCTCTTTGAATAAACTCCTTATATAAGTTTGGCCCCATTTCCTTTTCCCATGAACCTTATGGGGACACTCCACTGTCTAGAACAAAGTTCCTAACTTACTCAAAATGTGCTCCTTCTGAGTTGGCAAAAGTGTTAGATTCTAAGGCAGCTCTACTGGAGCAGCAGGAATAGAATCTAGTTCTGCAGAGAGGAGATGTCCCAATAACCTGCTCTTTCTGAAGGGCTTACTCCCCAAACATTGCTATGTTCTAACTTAATTATCAGAGGCAGTATGCCTCTGAATATCAGTTGCTGGGAATCACAAGTGAAGAGCATTGTTTCATTCAGGTTCTGCTTGCAGGCTACCCAAAGGCATCTGGTTGGCCAATGTGAGAAGAGTGCACTGGGAAATATGGCCCTTTCACCTAATCCAACAGGGATCTTCTTATGTTCTTAACATGGATGTAGGTTTGACTATTTGAGATACAAGTGCCAAGCAAATGTGACAATGATGCTCTGCTTGTGGGCTTCCTGGAGTCCATCTGGCTGACCAACAGGATACCAGACTAGATGGACCTTTGGTCTGATCCAGCAGGGTTCTTCATCTGTTCTCCTTAGAGTCAGGGCACAGAAAGGAAAGTACTTCTTATGGTGCCAGATGGATTTTTCTATGCACAGAGCTGTTGTTGCTGTTCCTTCGGCAATCATCAGCTCTTTGGCAGCATGGAGTAACAATGCTAGAAGCAAGAAAAATATCTCCCTTTTCAAGTAATGCTATGTAAAGATCATCTGTTTTATTTGGGTGTAATAATGCAGTTCTTCTGATCTTTTAAGGCCCTTTGAAACTGCACACCTCAAGGAATGTGTTTCCCAACCCCCCAGCCCACTGCTTTATAAGGGAAGCAGAATCTCTTCCCCCAACCCAACGGCTTTAGCAGAACCTAAGTGTCTCTCTCTATCTCCACTAGATGGCATCAGAGAATCTCTTTCTGTCCCCTGCCACTTTGCCCTCCCCCACAAGGAAATAACATATGTATACCATACCAAACCCATTTTTGCCTCCAGAAAAGTACCTACTGTGCTGTCCTCACAATTGATTTCTGCTGAATTGATAAATTGTTGCTCTCTGAGGATTTGGGACAGGGTGGTGGGGCATGGAGGATGAAAGAGAAAATGTCACCACTATTTCAAGTTCCTCTTGAAGAGGGGGGGAAATCAGTCCTTGAACCCAACCATGAATTGCATTTATTAATCAGATTGCAATAGACAATCTTGCACTACCCAGTACACATCTATCCTGTAGCGCATCTCTGAAAAATTTCCTTGATGCACCTGTAATCATGTTCAGGAGGTGCCAATCTACAACCTTTGGCTATGTTGTTAAGTTATCCACTCAATTATCCCAGAGGCCAGAAGACCATCCGGGAACTAACCATGCAGTATTGGTGGCTCTGGCAGATGCTGTCTACATTAATATACAGTACTTACAGATGAGCAGATTTTATTGTGATCTAGCTGTTTGAGTGTTGGACCAAGGAGAACATGGTCTGCAATGATGAACACTCTGCAATGTTGCTACATAGGTGACCTTGGGCCAGTCACCCTCTCTCAGTCTAACCTACCACACATGGTTTTTGTCAGGTAAAATGGGTGTATGAACCTTGTGCACTACCCTGAGCTCATTTAATGAAAAGTGGGAGGAATATCCTGCCTTTCATAAGATCATAGAATTGTAGAATTGGAAGGGACATTGAGGGTGATCTAGTTCAACCAGCCACAAATCCACCCAACAGTTACCTCCTCCAGCCCACATTTGTTTCCCATTTTTTCTTGTTGTGGTGGCAACTTTTGTGTTTTGCTTTTATCCTCCCAGTTGAGAGAAGATATTGATGTGGTTGAGGACAAGCATTAGCATTAAATTTATGTTGTGAATTAAAAAAGCAGGGACATAAAGTAGCAAGAATTTTGCTTCTTCTGGGGTTTCAAAGAGGTAGTGTTACTATGCCAGCTCCATGAAATGTGCCAGGAATGTGCCCCAGTAATGGCTGTGCTGTATATCACAGGGAGTGTTTAATGCAAAGAAGAAAAAAGGTGTGGGGATAAATGAGACTATATTAGAGTCAATAAAACAGAACCCAGTTAAGAGGCAGTCTTTCTTGCAAAGAGTTCACTGGAGAAGTGGCAGATTAGAGCAGAATCCAGGGAGTTAATGTCACACAACCATGAGGGAAGACCTTGTCTCATAGGTATATAAATATAGGATGTTGACTTATGCAGGATCAGACTGCTGGTCCAAGTAGCTCAAGGATGGGGAAACTATCCTTTGGACTCCCATCTGTCCCAGCAAGCATGACCAAGGGTCATGGATGATTGGAATTGTAATCTAGCATCATCCAGAGGACCATATGTTTCTTAAACCTAACCTAGCTGAAAACTGTCTACATTAATTGGCAGTGAATCTCCAAGATTTCAGGCAGGGGATATTCTCAGCCCCTACCAGGAGTTGCCAGGGATTGAACCTTGCTTCATCTGTATATAAAATATGTCCTTCACCACACAGGTGTAGCCCTTCCCTTTAATACATAGGAATATGCCTTATAGTGAATCTGTTTACCCATTGTGGGCTTCCACTTCCCATCATGCTGGACCACTGGTCATGCTGGCTGAACCTGATGGGAGCTATAATCCAAAGCACTTGGAGGGCATCAGTTTGGGGAAGACTGGTCTATTTCAAGTGGCAGTAGCTTTCCAAGGTTTCAGACAGGAGTCTTTCTCCACTCTACCTGGAACTGCCAGGGATGGAACAGGGGACCTTTTGTATGCAAAAGAACACCAGCTCTATCACCAAACTGTGGCCCTTCCTCACAATAACATAGGAAAATAGGAAGCTGCATCACACCAAGTCAGACAATTGGTCCATCTACCTTAGTATTATCTACACTGCCTGGCAGTGGCTCTCCAGAGTTTCAGATTGGGTTTTTCCCCAGCCCTACTTGGAATTGCAAAGGAGTGAACCTGGGATCTTCCACATGCAAAGCAAAAGCTCCATCACTGTGCCACAGCCCTTTCCTTGATTATTCTGGGATGGTGAGGTGCCCTAAAAACTTGTGTCTTGGGTTAACTGGGAAATATAATATAGTTGGGATGTTGCAGATGCCTGTGGGAAACCTGCAAACAGGATCTTTCCTGGGAGAGTGGTTTTGGATCAAACAGAAAGGAAGATGAGGCAAGGGATATTTCGGGCATCTTGAGTAGCAAGTTGCACAGACTGAAGAAACCAGCCTGTGGACCAACAGTTATATTCAGCCAATAAGGTGCCTACTAGTTCCATAGATTACCTGGCATGTCTGGGCTGATGATCATCAGACCTATAAGGTGATGTCACAGCACAACCAACATCAAATCACTAACTCTTTCACTAAGAGCATAAGAAGAGACCGATGGGGTCAAGCCAAAGACCCATCTTTTTCGGTCGTGGCTCCGATCTGGTGGAACACTCTGTCACCAGAGACCAGGGCCCTGCGGGACTTGACATCTTTCCGCAGGGCCTGCAAGACAGAGCTGTTCCACCAGGCCTTTGGCCAGGGCACAGCCTGACTCCCTCCCTTGGCAATCTTCGCGGAGCTCTGGCCCAATTAATTAATTGAATTAATTAACTGAATTAATTAATTTTATAATGAATGATTTTAGAGTGTTGTTTGTGCTATACTTTTGTACTGTTTTATTGTTGTTAGCCGCCCTGAGCCCGGCTTCGGCTGGGGAGGGCGGGATATAAATAAAGTTTATTATTATTATTATTATCTAGTCCAGCATCCTGTTCTCACATTGGCCAACCAGATGCTTTCAGGAAGCCTCCAAAACAGGACCTGTGTGCAACAGAGCTCTCCTCATTTGTGATTCTCAGCTGCTGGTACCCACAGGGATACCACTTCTGACTGTGGACGTAGAATATAACAATTGTGGCTAGCAGGCAATGGTAGCTTTATCCTTCATGAAGTTGACAAATCTTCAGCTTAGATCTGTGCTTTCCCATGTTCTCATCTGATACATCCTCATCATATACCGCTACAGACTATATGAATATTGGAGCTTTGATGTCAGTGGAGCTAGTGTGAAGTTTACAAGGTGGTGAGGAGGGACTTTACGAAGTTGTATCTCCCTCTCTGAGGGCAGAACTCTCACTCTGGCTTTGGAGAGGAAGAGCCAAAACATTCTATGGTTCTTAGGAGCCTATCCCAGGGACGATAGAATTGCAGGGTTAGTGTGCTATTTCACTCTGTCCAACAGATGATATAGCAAAGGTGGTAATTGATTAGTTTATTTTCTCCCCCATCCCTTAAAAAAAATTTAAAAGATAAAAGAATTGTTCTAGTATTCTTGTTGTAAGGTGGCCATCTTTTTTGTTGCTTTTATTTTCAACTTTATTTCAGTCTAAAATAATATTTAATCCTCCCACAAAACGAAGTATGGGGATATAAATACAATTAATGAATTGATAAAATATTCCATGGGTTCTATACATCTCAGGAGGCTGATGGTCTTCGCAGATGGGACAATGTGGAAGAGTATAATCACATTTCAGATAATAAAGGTGATGGAGCATAGAAGGATGGAGCATTATTCCATAAACATTGCCCTTTGAAGCTAATGAGAAGACCAGACCTGCTTCCACATTTAAACACTTTAGGACAAGGCAATCAATTCCTGGGTCTGAAACAGTTCAACAGGATGGTAGGACAAAGTACAACAACTAACAAAAGAAACTATATTCATTATAACCTGCTTTGATTTCTGTAGGCTGGAGGGTGGTCAATGCTGTCTCCATATTTCTTTAAAAGCTACGGCAAACGATCAAGGAATTAGATCAGCTGCCAAAGCTGAACTTCAATGGCCTGAAAGATAATAGGGAAATTGTTGAATCCATTGAGTTGTGTTGCCCTCAGACACTCAGGTCAACCAGCAGGAGGTCTCCCACAGTAAATTGCTAGGCTTTTGGAGCAGGCTTTGTTTGAAATCATTACAACAAATGGATAAAGGTGGACCAGTGGATGTGATTTATTTAGATTTCCTTTCAATAAGCTTTTGATAAAGTACCTCCTAAGAACCTGTTAAGGAAAGCCTAGCTGATTGCTAAGCTGCAAGAGGTGAGGTCCTTTCTTTATATATATATATATATATATATATATATTTATATATAATTATATGGCAGGGGTGATGAAGCAATACTAAATGTCCAGTTCTCAGCATGGAAAAATAGTGAATAGATAGCTGAGAATCATTATTCAGTGGAATGGCCAATGGGCAGCCAATGGTGGAATGCCAACCTTTGTTCAACAACTTTTGAAGTTAACTTAAAGGAGTGGTGGGCATGTTGGGGGGAGCCAGTGATGGAAGTGAGCCAGGCTTATAAAAAGTACAGAATAATACCCTTTGTGTGGATCTAAAATGGAAGGTTCTAAATTATATGTAACTTTTCCCCAAAGGGGCGGTGGGGAAAGGGAGGGAGAGGATAATAGAGTCATAGAATTGTAGAGTTGGAAGGTTCCCAAAGGGTCATCTAGTCCAACCTCCTGGAAATGCAGGAATCACAGGAAAGGAGAGGGAGGGATGGAGGAATATTTTTATATAAGTGGATACATTTTCCCAACAAGTACTGCTTGTCAAAGGACAGGGGAAAAAAGCACCCAACTTTAGGTAAGTAGAGCCTAAGGAAGAAGAAAGGAATTATTAAATGGTGACATTTATAGAAATCAATGGTCTGGCTTCTGTATGCAGTCTGTGCCTTCTTATGCGCATTGCCCTCAAAAGGTCTGACAGAACAAACCAAATGTGTTCAGAGTGAGGTAATAACACTAATTAGGAGGATGATGGATCTGGGGGAAGGTGATGCTTTTTCATTGCCGGTTTTGTTCAGGGTGTGGAATAATGGGCTCAGTGAGAAGACTGGGCTTCATCAAAATATTTCTTGAACTGTATTCATGATGAGAGCAGATTACATGGGCAAGGGAAGGTTGCAAAGGGGAGGAAAAATGAGAACGAGCTATAATTGGAGCTGGGGAATCTGTCAGTAACCAACCTGCAGTCTTTGGATTAGTTGAAAAGGAGTCTGAATGCGACAGGGCCCAGTTTGATTAAGGGTGAGCAGATTTCTTCTGTTCTGCTATTTTACAGTGCTGTGAATTTGCTATGCTTTTATCTGAAAAACAACCACAAAATGGAGAAATTGCTACTGGCATGGGGGGGGGGGGAGGCGGATTCTTGTGTTTGAGATGAAATTTATTTTGGGTTTGGCATATTTCGGAACAAATCATTCACTGCAGGATGAGGGTGATATTGATGGTAATGCTCATCAAATGCTTAGCACACTGGAATGACTTCTATGCCTCAGGTGTAATTGTAGTATTCATTCATTCATTCATTCATTCATTCATTTAGATTGATTGATTTCTACCCTGCCCTTCCTCCCAGAGGTATTATTTTTGTTGTTCTTCGTGGTGGTATTACTACTATTATTATTACTGCAACTCCCATCATCCTTGATCTTTGGCTATGCTGGTTGCAGCTGATGGGATATAGACAACATTTGGATGATGAAAGGTTCCTGTGCTAGGAAACCTTTTCCCAGGGGAAAATATGAGGTATGCACATGGTGTGTTGGGGGAAAAGAAGCATGGTGGGAGAGAGAGAGCGGGAGACTAAAAGCCGTAAGTGGATTCAAAGAAAGAAGGGAGTAGAACTTACCAAGTCCAGGAATGTTTGTGGTGTTCTGATACAAGGCTCTGGCAGCCAGCCAGCTAGCTTTACATGGATCTGGAAAATGCAAAAGTAGTGGTGGGGAGCTTATGGTCCTCTAGCTGTTGTTGGACTACAACTCCCATCATCCCTCACCATTGGCCATGCTGGGAGTTGAAGTCAGTGCTGGCCTTACTACTAGGCAGAGTGGCAGTCTCCTTAAGTGGCAAGTGTTTGAGGTGTGAGTGATGGGAAGTAGTGGCAGCTTATCACAGCAAGTCCTCTTGATCCCTCCAACCATTACCCTCAGTGAGATCAGAGCTACACGTACCATACACCCTCTGGGCTAACTCACTGCCCTTAGGTTCACTAGAGGATATTGCCCCAATTGCTAGTGTTGAAGTAAGATTCACCTGCCTGTCTAGACATTTTCTCTACATTGAATGAAGGATACCAACTTGTCCTCTAAAATGCTCTGAAATATGCCATTAGGGGGAGAGAAGGAGCTGCTTCAGGGAGTAGATGTTGGTTTCCAGTTGTGTGACCTGAGCAATAAAGAAGGGGCTGGTCTGTGATAGCTGAAGATCAGAAAGGAGTAACACACACTTTGAAGAACTGACTCCTTCAAGTTTGCCTAAAATGGATATAAAGTCACCACCAGGATAACTTAGTGACTGCTCCCATCATGCCTTGCCCCATATGTTGCCTATGTTATGATCATTGTTCCCACCTAGCCTGACAGACAGCATGCCTTGGCAGTGAGGAACTGTGCAAATCCTGTACAAAGCATGGCAAACAGGATGTGTTTGAGGGAATGCTATGGTTCTGTGACTTGTGGTGTATGTGGGCACTACAGGGTGAAGCTGTGCAAGTGTGTACTGTAAAATAGGAGTGGGAAGGATGCAACCCTCCATATGTTGTTGGTCTCCAACTCCCACCAGCCCTAGCCAGCATCAGGGATGAAGGGTATTAAGAGTTCAACAACATCTGAAGGGCCACAGGCTCCCTGTGCAAAAGGAATGAAGGAAATGGAAGGACAGAGGTGAAGAGACATAACCTGCATCATCCTTTATTTGCAACTCCTTGGAACTTAATTGACTCACAAAGTGATTCCCATGTTGCCTCTGTGCCCCTTGGAGTTTGCTGCAGCAACATTTTAAGAATTTCAATCCAACACAGCAAGCCATGCATGACGACTGCTTTCAAAGCCCAATTTCCTTGTATCCTCTCTCTAAGAGAAGAAAGAGAAGGCAGAGCATTGGCAGGGATGTGTCAGCAGTAATTTTCAGTTCTGCCTGTGTCATCTGTTATGTCACTCTGATAGGCAGGCGGCCTGGAGGAAGTGCTCCTGGTCTGTTGGACCAAGGTTGCTTTTGTGCCCTCCATTGCCTTCCCCTGTCAATCTGGGGATGGCTGCTAATCTACCCTTTCTCTGCATGTCAGCCAGAGCTGAGTCTCCTTGTGGGCATCACCCTTCCCAAGGAAATCAAACTGAATTAAGGAGACAAGGACATAGAGAGGTGCTCTATGCTACTTTCTGTGCATGCAGAATATTTTCCTAAGAATATTGCACTTGCCCTAAGATAGTGCTGGGGGGCATATAAGAAAAAAATCTAAGCAACTATGCATCTTTAAACATGAATTTGTTATACCTGTGGTCAGGGGTGCCAACTTGAATAAAATATTTGGTGTGCCCAGGTAAGCCCTGCCCCGCATAACTGATCACATGATGCGGTGCATGCACACCATTTGAATGGCAATGCCCAGCCCCCTCAAATATTTTATTGGGGGGGCCAGAAACCTCTCGGCCCCTAGGAGTTGACTGCTATGCCTGTGGTGGGGAACCTCAGGGGCCAAATGCAATCCTCCAGGTCTCTCTAGCCCTCCCCAGGATGAACTCTTGTGTCACATCATCCTTGAGTGCTTTTTCCTGACTGGAATATGTCCTTGACTTCTGATAATGGCTTTTGCATGTCTGGATGGATGTCAGGGACTGGCTGGATGACGAGGAGTAGTGGGAGGCACCAGCTGGGAAATCCCCCAGGGAAGTCCCAGAAAAAGTCTTAGAGCCCGGGGATTGCTGGTGGGACAGAGGGTGAAGGTGGGGAGGAATGGTTGGATGCTGAAGAGGCAGCAGGCTTTAGTGAGCAAATGGAGTCAGATGCAGAAAGCAGTTCAGACTCAGAAGATGAAGCAGAGGAGGAGGGGTCAGAGGCTGCAGAAGCAACCACTGAGCTTGCCTCCAAGGACATGAAGAGCTATGTTTGTAGCAGAACAAATAGCACAGGTTCTTCCCTCCCCCGACGTAGTTTATTTATTTTTTTAAAAGATATTTATTAAGATTTTCAAAATGTTACAAAACAAAAAGAAAAAAATACAAAAATAGAAATGGCTAAAAACAACTCAATCTTTCCATTACTTATTTTTCATTAGCTTATTTCCCGGAGCTCCTCACGCCTCCCTTTTTTGTTTTTTGTTTTTATAATTGATATTTATTAAATTTTCAAAAGGATAACAACGAAAATTTCCAAAAAAAAAGAAAAATTTTTTTTTGAAAATACAAAAAACAAAAATAGTACATACACAAAAAAGAAAAGAAAACCCAGCCGCAGAAAAAGAAAAAAGAGAAACAGAAAAACAAAAATATTAAGTCCTATACAATATCTATTGACTTCCTTTCTAGACTTCCTCCTCCTCCCCTCTTTTGTTTCTTAATTTTTAATTTTTACAGCAAATCCTTTCTGTTTTTTCATAACAATCTGCCATTACGTTTCCTTATTCTATTTTCCCTCTTGTCATGTAACTTTAAACCTTTTTACAAATCATTTACCAATCCTTACTTAAGCCATGTAATTTCATTCAACATCCTTCAAACATTTATAAGCATTCCCAATATTAAAAAATAAAAAAGAAAGAATAATAAGTCAAATTCAATCCAGTCAGCTTCCAACCTCCCCTCGCCTGGCCGCGGGAGTGTCAGTCCTTTTAACCTCTTAACCTGGTTGTCTCGTATCCGAGGCCCTCAAGTCTCTGTCTTGCCCCTTTCGCCACTCTTGTTGATGATTCCTTTCCAGTCGTGGATGCTCCAGCAAGAAAATGCTTTTGACCCTTTGCGGCAAGTCCATCCCAAACCCATTGCCCAAGCCAGACAGCAAGTAATACCACTTCAGATTTCCACAAAGCTTGGAGACTTCGGCTGCTCCAATCCTCTGATAGCCCATCACCAGACTCGGAAGGTCCAAATAACCATATGGAGGGGGGTCAATCCATCCCCCCATTTCCAAATCTAACCACATTTCATCTTTCCGAATCTGGTTTGTCCCAAGTTCATTTGTCAAGTTCAAAGGCTGATCTTGCCCGTCCAAAGGTCCCTCTATCTCTGAAGCCTCCATCACTACAGCAGGTTCATATACTTGTATAGCCTTTAACTGAATTTCATTTGTTTGCTGCTGTGCTCTGGTGACTTCCATCATCAAGGTCGTCTCACACATCTGGTCCAGCTGGGCACTTAGTTTTGAAAAGCCTTCCATGAACAATTGTTCAAGCCTTTGTACTAGCATTGTTCTTCAAGGTCAAAAAAAAAATTCTTTCCCACGGCAATAGTCCAATAGTCCTTCTCTTTTAGTCTCTCTGCGTTGCAGTTTCACTGAATTCCACTAGATGGAAATTCTTATTTTTTTTTTATAAGGAATAAAAGCAACAGCAACAATCTTTCTTTTTCCAGAAACACTTTATCCAGAATTCCCCCTTCCAAATTCAAGAGGCAACAGTAGAATCAAAATGTTACCCTTCTTTTAACTAACTGTCAAGTTAGATAAACTTCAGAACGTCAATTCTGACAGTCCGCTCCTGGTTCAGGGCGGTGGAAAATTGCTTTATTTTAAACTCACTTCCGCAGGATTAAAGAGTCCAAATACAACCCCCTTCTTCTCCTGCAATCGAAGGGGGGGTTCAGATATCTTAGATGTTGAATTCTAGTTCTCTTAAAATTTAATTTTCAAGCTTTAATATATTTTATCTTTGCTTTCTTCACATAACAAAAGAACGGAAGGCGACTTCCTGTTTAGACCTTCCCATTCCGAGTCCCAATTAAGTTCAATTTCAAGTCCAATATTATTTGTTTGTTTTTTTTCACCAGTCTTAAAAGTGGTTCAGCTCTTCCGAGATCAGGTACTCACGGATAGATATTTTAGATGCCAAATTGTCCAGGAAAAAGGCAGCGCTCTCCGATAACGGCAGTGCGGCTTTGCTGCACGGAGGAAGCAGACGACTCACAGCACCACGCACCTCCCACTCCGGAGCCCGTTACCGAGCTCCTGTACAAGGGGAGAGAGCGCTCTCGGTGCCCGCCGAGTCCCACGTCCACAGGCTTCTTCCGCCTGTGGTTTTTGCGGGTCCCCGCTGCGCCGTAGCGGCAGGACCCAAGCCTCCGTGCAGCGGGTTCCCTTCAGTCCGAAGGGAATTCCGCCATTTTCCGGAGGCGCCACCCCGGAAGTCCCACGCCTCCCTTTTTTGTATTCCAGTTCAGTTTGTTGGTTCAGCAAATCCTTACCCTCTTTGTTTATCCTAATCTTGAATCTTTAAATATTGTAACGTTAAATTTTTACCTATTAATAATCCATTTTTCATATTCCCTTATAGTATTACAGCTGAAAACCACTTAATTTCTATCCAACATCATTCTAACATTCATTAATTTTACAATATTTCTGTAGATAGTCCTTAAATTTCTTCCAATCTTTGACCTTATCATACCACAGATATGCATGCCATCCAAATACATTATTAAAACCTTCTAGGTCCAAAATGTCAGTGTTTTCAAGAAGCAGCCATTCTTTCAACCAGCAAAAAGCTGCTGATTCATAGTAAAGTTTAAAGTCTGGCAGGGCAAATCCACCCCTTTCCTTTGCATCAGTTAATATCTTAAATTTTATTCTGGGCTTCTTGCCCTGCCAGACAAATCTAGAGATGTCTCTCTGCCACTTCTTGAAGCAATCCATTTTGTCCACAATTTGCAATGTTTGAAACAAAAACAACATTCTAGGCAATACATTCATTTTTATCGCAGCAATACGACCCAGCAGTGAAAGCTTCAAATTTGACCAAATTTCTAAATCTTTTTTCACTTCAGACCAGCATTTTTCATAGTTGTCTTTAAATAGGTTCCCATTTTTTGCTGTCATATTAATTCCCAGGTATTTCACTTTCTTAACCACTGTTAAACCTATTTCATTCTGAAACCTCTCTTTCTCAATCGGTGTTAAGTTTTTCTCTAAAACCTTGGTTTTTAACTTATTCAATTTAAATCCAGCAACCTGACCAAATTCTTGAACCAATTCTAAAACCCTTTTGGTACTAGATTCTGGCTCCTGTAATGTCAGTACTAAGTCATCTGCAAATGCTCTCAATTTGTACTGTTTAGCTCCGACTTGTATACCTTTAACCAACTGGTCCCTTCTAATCATATTCAGCAAAACCTCCAGGACCGATATAAACAGCAATGGGGAAATTGGGCAGCCTTGTCGTGTCCCTTTTTCTATCTTAAATTCTTCCGTCACCACATTATTTACAATTAGTTTAGCCTTTTGTTCTGAGTAAATTGCACTTATACCGTTTTCAAAGCCTTGGCCTACCCCATCCCCTGTAGGTTCTTCTTCATAAAACTCCAAGAGATATTGTCAAAAGCTTTCTCTGCGTCCACAAATATCAATACTGCTTTAGTATTTATGTTCACTTCTAGTTTTTCCAAAATATCAATTATATTTCTCAAATTGTCAGACAAGTGTCTTCCTGGGAGAAAGCCCGCTTGGTCTTTATGGATCTCTTCCATCAACGCTTTTTCAATCTCTTGGCCAAAATGTCTGCAAAAAAATTGTAATCCACATTAAGTAATGATATGGGGCGGTAGTTCTTAAGCTGAGTCTTTTCAGTCTCTGTTTTCGGTATAAGTGTAATATACGCTTCTTTCCACGACTCTGGTGCCCTTTTCCCCTCCAATATTTCATTACAGACTTCCTTTAAAGGTTGTACTAACCACTCTTTCAAGGATCTATAGTATCTAGAAGTCAGCCCATCCGGTCCTGGAGATTTGCCCAATTGCATGTTTTGAATGGCACCTTCTACTTCCTGTTCAGATATTTTATAATTCAACATTAATTTACTTTCTTGAGAGATTTTTTGTAATCCATTTGTCTTCAAAAATCGATCTATATCCATTTCTTTCTGTGGCCCTTGTGTGTATAATTGTTTAAAGTACCTCTGGAAACAGTTTCTAATCTCAGTTGGGTTGTGAATGTTCTTTCCTTCCACTTCTAAATTTGTGATAGTATTTAATTTTTGCCTTTTTTTCATTTGCCAAGCCAACAATTTCCCACATTTATTAGCTGATTCAAATGTTTTTTGTCTCATTTGTTTAATTTTCCATTCTATTTCCTGGTTCATCATTTCCATATATTGTACTTGATATAACTTTATTTCTCTCAAAATCTCCTGCGACTTTGGTTTTGCTCTCAATTTCTTCTCGCTTTCTTTTATTTTCTCCAATATTTTATCTTTCTTCTCATTTTGGCTTCTCTTCTTTATAGCATTCTGTTGTATCAGAAACCCTCTCATGACCACTTTACTTGCGTCCCAGATTACTCTTTTTTCTACATTAGTATTCATATTTATCTCAAAATAGTCTCTCAAGGTTTTTTGGGCCTTTTTATACACTTCTTCATCTCTGAATAAGGTGTCATTCATCCTCCATCTGAAGGAGCCAGTTGATATTTGTTTCATCTCCATCCTTACAGCATTATGGTCGGAGCAGGTTTTTGGACAAATTTCCGCTTTCTTTATCTTTGGTGCCATTCCTCTAGTTGCCCATATTTGGTCAATTCTAGTCCATGTCATCTTGGCTTCAGAGAAGAAGGTTCCCTCTCTTCCCAAGGGATTCTTTGTTCTCCAAGTATCAACTAAGTCCAAGCTGTCTGTCATCTCAAAAAATGTTTTCGGTAGTCTACCATCCTTGGTGACCACTTGTCTTTGTGCCTTATCCATATATGTAGATACTACTCCATTCATATCCCCCATCAAAATCAGATTGTAATCCAAATAGTCCATTAAGATCTCATGCAACTTTTTAAAGAATTCAGATTTCCCCTTGTTCGGTGCATAAATTCCTACTATCAAAAAATTCTCTCCGTGAACTTGAATTTCAATTGCCACAAATCTTCCTTGATCGTCTTTAAAAATAAATTTCGGCGATAACCTCTCCTTTGCATAAATCACTACTCCTCTTTTTTTAACTTTGTCAGATGAAATAAACTCCTGTCCCAATCTCTTGTTAATCAAAACTTTCCTGTGTAGCCTTATCACGTGTGTTTCCTGTAAGCAAATCAAGTCCAATTGTTCCTTTTTTAGTAAATGAAAGACACTTTTCCTTTTCCGAGGAGAATTGAGGCCATTACAATTCCAACTTAAAAGTTGCAGAGCCATGATGGGGTTACTTTGCTTTACCTCCAACTGCGCCAAGTGTTTGTTCTTGATCTGTCGGTGGTATCACTTTCTCTGGACCATGCAATCCAAAAGATAAGTTTGAAATATCTATTATTCCTCTTTCCAGTGCTTTTGGCTCTTCTCCAGATTCCGCTTCTTTCTGTAGATCTTCTCCGTGGTCTTTCAAGAATTTATCTTTATCATTGACTGACCTTATTTTTATCTTTCTTCCTTTATATTTAAAAGACAGGCCTTGGGGGAATTCCCACCTGAAGATGATTCTATTACTTCTCAGCAGGGCAACCAGATCTCCGTAATTAAGCCTTAAGTCCAAAAGATGTTTTGGAATGTCCTTAAATATCTCCACACTTGAATCATATATTTCCAGAGTCTTTTGGTAATGCAGATTCAAGATTTTATCTCTCTCCTCTTTTGTTCGAAGGGTAATCAAACAGTCTCTCACCTTATTCTTCCTTCCTCCTCTTCCAAGTCTAAATGCACTCACTATCTTAAATTCTTCCTTCCCCAAATCCTGTTGCCAGAAGTCTGTGAATTCCTGCGTAAGAAAGTCAATCAAGTTATCTTTCTCAAGTTCTGGTACAGCCCTGATTCTCAAATTTCTTTGTTTCTCTTTCAATTCAATCATAGACAACGTCAAACCGTGGTCCTCGAGTTGCCTATATATCGGTGGTATCTTCTCTTGAGTGGCAGTTGCTATGTCTTTTGCTTCTTCAGCTGTCTTTCCGGTCGAGGCAGATTCCTGTAACAATTTCTCAATAGTCTCTGTATTGGTATTCACCTTCTGTCCCAAATTATTGATACTTGTAGTATTTTGATCAATTTTAACTGATGCTTCGGCTACTTGTTTATTTGTTTCAGCTACTTGTTTAGTTAAATTTTCCAAAGATTCATTAATTTTTCCTAGTGCCAGAGCCAAAACATCTTCAGACGACATTACTTTTGATTTAACTTGTGGGGGTGCAGCCCCTAATAATCCAGATGGTCCAGAAGGACCAGATGTTGAAGCTCTTCACTGCGATGCAGTGTCTGTCTGATAGGGTCTGCCAGACCTAGTAGTTTTTTCCTCTAACTTTCCTCTTCCATCTGCCATAACACTCTCAAGAAGTCCAAGGTCAGTCCCACGGTTAGAATTTGTTTTGAAATGGAAAGTTCCCCAAGCCTCAAGTTGTTATTGTAGCAATGTCAAGCCTCCTCTAGGGGGACACAGTAACAGTCAAAACTTACAACTTGAAAGAAAAAAAAATGGTCCTTATAAATCCCCCAATTCATGAAAAAACAACAGTTTCAATTGCACTTAATCAGTTACTTTAAAGCCAGGAGAAGTCCAGAAACACTGTCTCTCTCTTGCAGAGTTAGCTGTCAAAAGTACTCTGTTTACCGATAGTGCTTTTCACGGAGCAGCATTCCTTGTCTCAGGGCAGTCCGTTCCCAGGCTCTAAGCGGTGGATTTTAGCTTCCTTTCCCTCTTTTTTTGCAGGTAGATACAGTTCAGACCTTTCCCCCCTCCTCTCCTGCAATCCGGAGGGGAGATCGCTTTTCTGATGTTAGGATTTAAGTCTTTTTTCAAACGTCTTTCAAGGTTTCCGCTTACAGTCTCTTTGCTTTGATCTATTTACAAGAAAGGAAGGCGGACTTCCCGTTTATGCCTTCCCGCTTCGGTGCCAAATTAAATTATTTTCCCCTTTAAATCCAATTTTATCCTACTCACGGGTAGTTACTTTGGAGGTCAAATTGTCCCAGGAAGAAGTCAGCGCTCTCCAATAACGGCTGTGCGGCTTCACTCCGCGGAAAAAGCAGTCAACTCTCAGCACCGCGCCACTCACCCCGTCTCGCTCCGGCACCCCTAAAGGGGTCCCTTTGCAGTTTGGGGGGGCACAAAAGGTGCCCGCCGAGTCCCCACGTTCACAGGCTTTACCCACCTGTGATTTTTAAAGGGTCCCCGCTTCGCCGCAGCGGTCAGACCCGATCCCGCGGAGCCGGTCCCTCAGAGACTCAGAGGGAATCCGCCATTATCGATGGTGCCAACCCGGAAGTCTCCCCCGACGTAGTTTAAGACTGCTTAGGAAACATTTGGCTGAGGAAGAGGAGACTTAGGGGGAAGCAGGAGACAGGAATAATCAGTCCTGGCAACAGTTTCATATGGGCCAGTTCTGTTCGGAGGCATTGTTGCCTTGTATGTTGTTTCCTTGAATAAAGAGTTAACTTTTCTGCTTGTCTCTGTGTTTTGAGTGCTGACCTGCATTTGAATCAGCCCTGACAATGAAGAATAGAGAAGGGCATGGGAGTGCATGCTGGAAGTAGTATACTGTACAAAGATAAGTTTTGTATTACAGTGGTACCTCTGGATGCGGACGGGATCCGTTCCGGAGCCCCGTTCGCATCCTAAAGCAAACGCAACCCCTGTCCGTGCATCTGCGCATGCGCGGGTTGCGATTTGCCTTTTCCATGCATGCACGTGACGTCATTTTGAGCATCTGTGCATGTGTGAGTGGCAAAACCCGGAAGTAATGTGCTCTGTTACTTCTGGGTTGCCACAGAGCACAACCTGAAAATGCTTAACCCGAAGCTACTTCAACCCGAGGTATGACTGTAGTTGCTCCACCCACCTTTGCCTTTGGACTGGCCCACCACTGGAATATAACTCTCTTAAAGGAATGCATCCCTTAGGCTATAAAAGTTTCCCTACCACTGTGTTACACAGTTCTTCCACACATGTGGCTTTTCCCATGAAGCATTGGTTGGATTTTGTGAATGAGAAATACAAATTATTGGTGCCTCATCTATGTCTAGTGATTTTACTTTAATGCCAATGTCAACTGAGATCTATTGTCCAATGTTTGTTTGGAACTATAGACGATTGCCCAATAAAAACTGCATAAAGAGCCATATAACATCTTGGCCAAGCTCATATCTTGGCCAAGAAAGCATAAGTACTGACAAAGCCTGTAACCTTCTATCATTCATGGTCTATTGAATTGATCCAATGAGACAGGATAGGGTCAGGAATTCTGTTGGCTGTGACACTTTGCCAATTACATAGTGTTCCACTTGGGAAGGAAAACGGAAACACTCAGTGTGCCAATATCTTTCAAGATAACATTGAATGGGAAATCCAAATGAACAGTTCTGTCCGTAGTGCTGAAATGGTGTTCTAGCAGTAGGGGAACCAATGTCTTCACAATCCATGAATTTTAGGAGCATCTCATGACTGGACATCTTAAAAAAAACTAATGAGCAACTTTAAATCAGCTTCTAATTTTACAAGGAACATGGCCAATCCATCTTGATCACTCTATTATGTGTTGTTTGTTTGTTGGTTTGTTTGTTTATGCATTACCATCACAACTTTGTGAGGTAGGTCAGGCTGTGAGATGAATTTCATGACCAAGTGAGGATTTGAACCCCTGGTCTGCCAGATCCTAGTCCAACATTCCAACTTCTACACTACACTGGTTTCATCAAAACCACAGTTGGCCACACCTGCGAAAAGAGTAAAGGTATCTGTATTTTCCCTCACTAGGACTAATAACAGCTTCTGATGGGTGCACAATTAAGGTAAAGGGGGGAGTTTAAACAACATTTACACTAATCCACCATAAAGTTTGTGTGTTGTATCCAATGTTAGTCTTGGCCATTGAGATTGATGGATGTGACTAACAGGTTCATTCATTTCAGTAGTTCTACTCTGAGTAGAACTTAGTTGGATAGCCCCCCTTTTTTTAGATCAGGTGATCCAGTGATGAATTTCCTTCAACACACATAATTTGACCAAAACTTCCTAGATATAAGGCTTTTTTTCTTTTTTTTTGCAACCTGTGTCCTTCTGTATCTTGAAATTATTAGTAATGATGCAGAATCATGCAATTTCCTTTTGCATATAAATAACAACCAAACAATATATTTTGCAAGGTTAAAATCAAATGAGAGATTAATGCTTTGGACTTTTTTATTATCTGGGGGGAAATACAAACAATAAGATGCAAATGGGAATCATAAGTGGACTGGCCAAACAGAACTAGGACAACTTGAGCAAAATGTCCCATCAGAGATGGTTCCTATATGAAATATAAAAAGGTAAAGGTAAAGGAGCCCTGATAATTAAGTCCAGTTGCAAACGACTCTGGGGTTGTGCTGCTCATCTTGCTTTACACGCCAAGGGAGCCGACGTTTGTCTGCAGACAGTTTTTCTGGTCAGGTGTCCAGCATGCAACCAGAGCAGCGCACAGAAACACCGTTTACCTTCCCGCCAGAGCTGTACCTATTTATCTACTTGCACTTTTTGGCGTGCTTTTGAACTGCTAGGTGGGCAGGAGCAGGGACCGAACAACGGGAGCTCACCCCGTTGTGGGGATTCAAACCGCCGACCTTCTAAACGGCAAGCCCAAGAGGCTCAGTGGTTTAGATCACAGTGCCACCTGCATCCCTTATATGAAATATAGATTGTCAGTAATAGTATCTTGAGCTGTGACTACAGAGTTTTGCATGTTTTCATTTAGAAGGACTGTGAGAGCAAGTGGGTGAACATACAATCTATCTCTCTCTCTCTCTCTCTCTCTCTCACACACACACACACACACACACAGAGAGAGAGAGAGAGAGAGAGAGAGAGTTGTAAATATCAAAGCCTAGGTGGAAGTTCACTGAGCACAAACAAATGGGGGCAGATATTTTACATCTCTCCTTACACTGAAATATGCATCCTGTTCCTAGATTTAGAGCACAGTTGGGGAAACTTAGGCCGAAACACTGAATGTGGCTCTCCAGGCCTTTTTATCTGGCCCTCAGCACTCTTCCTAGCCACACTTCTACAGGCCTTACCCCTTTTCCTCAGACTACACCTTTCACCAGCCTTGTCCTGCACCTTCCTAGAGTGCTTTTGCCAGCCAGGGCTGCCAACTTGAATAAAATATTGTGGGGGCCCAGGTAAGCCCCACCCTGCATAATCAATCACATGACACAGTGCACACACACCATTTGAATGGGAATACCCATCAACTTTGTGGGGGTCTGACCCTCTCAAATATTTTACTATGGGGGTCGACGCCCCCACAGTCCTTAGGAATTGGCTCCTATGTGTGTAGCTGGAATGTGTTATTGAACTGTGACAATGTTCTGTGGTTACCAGGATGAGGTAGGGAGGAGAGTGGTAAACATTTGGCAATGTAGCCTATTTTACAAAGATAAGGCTCATATCCATTGCTTTGCCTTCTTTTGCTTCTGGCCCTGTCCACCACTGGCATGTGCCTTTTGGAAGGTTAATCATGAGGGTGTGCAGTCCTTGGGTTGAAAAATACTCCTTACCCCTGATATAAGGTAGGTATAGAAGGCCTGCTCTGTGTGTGCCTGTTGTGATGGTGCATGTACTGTAAAGCAATCCTAGAGAACCAACAGGAAGACTTTTAGCTCTTTGGGAAATGCCATACCTCAATGGCAGAGCACCTGCTTTTCTTACAGAATGTCCTTAGGTTCATATGTTGTTACGTTTGCTTCAGGTTAATTTTTTTCAGCTTGCGCTCCACAGCGACCTGGAAGTACTGGAAAGGGTTACTTCTGGGTTTTGCTGCTTGCACATGCGCAGATACTCAAAATGACGTCACACGCATGCGCAGAAGCGTCGAATCGCAACCTGCGCAGACACGGGTTGCATTCTGCTCATGTTGCGAATTGGGCTCTGGAACGGATCCCGTTCACAACCAGAGGTACCAATGTATATATGAGGACTGAGGCTGAATCCTACAGCTCCATTTCTTGACAATGTTTGGGTCCCTAAAGGCTATCACTCCAACAGCTGTTCTCCCATGAAACACAATGTCACATCAGAATCAATCCTCCTCCTCTCTCTCTCTCTCTCTCTCTCTTTTTTAAAAGAGTTGCATATCTCTTTTAAAAAGAAGCAATGTGTCATTGAGGAAGGGGGGGAAGGAACACATACATATACACAAGTTTTTCAGGCATTTTTTATGAGGGAGAATTAAGAAATAGGATGAATGGAAAGAGAGGCAGTTCCCTGCTGAGAGCAATTTCCATGTATTCCGAGATACTCAGCTCAATTGCTAGGCAAGATGATTGCATGAATTAAGACCAATTTTACCAAAAGAGGGGGAAATCTCTCTGTTTTGCATGTTATTCCAGCTAGTTGCATTCTTCCCTCTCTCCCAAACCACCATCCAAAGGATCCATGTTGTCTTGGAGATCTACTTCCAGGTGTGCCAACTTGAATAAAATATGGGGGGGGGACAGGTAATTGGTTACATGACGTGGTGAACGCTCACTATTTGAATTGGAATGCCCATCAATTCTTTGGGGGGGCTGCCCCCTCAAATATTTTATTGGGGGAGCAAAGCCCCCTTGGCTCCTAGGAGTTGGCTCACCTCTATTAATTCAAGGAAGTAAATGAGTCTGCATTTGCTATATTAAACCAGGCTTGGCCCAATACATTTTGGCAACTGAGGTAAACCACAAAATGGTGTCCTCCTTTCTACCAGGGAAGAAGAGGTGAGTGAAGATCTACAACAGGAACAACGGGAGGGGTAAAGATTTACTTCAGGACGTGCTGCCCCTATGGATTCTGCCACCTGAGGCAGTTACCTCACCTTACCTCATGGCTGGGCCATCCCTGTATTAAACCCAGTTCTTTTGTTATTACCTCATGAAACTGGGAAACAATTTCTCCTCTGTTCTGCTTGTTATTGTTTGTTTTGTTTTTTAAAAAATAATAAGATCTCATTGGACTCAAGTTCTTGAAAATGAGATCCAATTCACACATTGCAAGTATTAGAAGGCATTTTACTAGGCCTTTAACAGGAACAGGCCACTTCTGAGTTCAGCAGCTGATCCGAAGACCCTCCTCTCAAGGCTTAATCCTATTGTAGTCCTAGAAGATTTTCCTTTCTGCAAGAACATGTCTCTCCCAGGACAGAGCTGAAAGCATACAAGAGCTGAATTGAAAAGAAGGTAAATGTTGTCAGAAACCTATGTGAATTTATGAAAGATGTAGATGGCAAAGGATAAAGCCTCTAATAGGTTAGATTAGACTGAATACTTATACCCTGCTTTGCTATTAAAGTAACAAGCGAAGTGGCTTGCAGTATATAACAAAACAATATGAAATACTAAAATTACATATTCAGTATAATTTCAGCAAAAGTACTATATTCCAGATGCTTATTGCCATCCCCAGAAGACCAGAGCTTCTAGGACTCTAACTCAGGTCCCTCAAAAGATCAATGGAAAGTGTTGCCTCCACCACAACCCAATCCTTCACTTCCATGGTCTCCCTCAGGCCACTCCAGGAGAACACTGTATAGCCTGGTTTTAAAACAGCCTGGTGTGTCTCTGTGTGAGTACATGTGCAAGCTGGTAACACTCAACCATCATTTTAAGTGTTTGTACTAAAAACAAAACAAACAAAAAAACTAGTAATTTCCAGGTTTTGCAGGGCCCTTCATAGAATAATAGAATTGTAGAGTCGGGATCCTGAGGGTCATCTAGTCCAACCCCCTGCAATGCAGGAATCACAGCAAAGGAATCCCTGGCAGGTGACCATCCAACCTCAGTTTACAAACCTCCAAGGAAGGGGAGTCTACCACTTTCTGAGGGAGTCCACTGTAAAAAGCACATTCCACGGGCTTTCCTGGCCCCCTCCATCAGAAAAATCTACCACCTAGGGATGGTTTGATCTGATAATTTCAGTTTATCTCGATTTCTCTCTCTCTTTTTTTTAAATAGTTCCTCACATTTCCACACCAGTTTGTACTTTTTTATGTATTCAGAAAACACCATCAGCATTTTAGTGCAGGTTTCCCCTAATAAATACATTTCTGCAAGCAATTTCCCCAATATTGTTCATGCATTTCTGTATCATATGGTCATGAACATATGTCTTTTCATGCACACTTCCCCTAAGACAAATATCTGGTTGGAGAAGTGTACTGCAAAATTCAGAAAAGTGTGACTTTCAAAGGATAGCCATGTTTTGGTTTTGTGCTGTTTCAAGAATGGTAATTAAAATGTGGAGTGAATTGCTTTTCTCCACCATCCCCAATCACCACTGAATGTTTTTGGTCTGATGAGCACCAATCATAGAATTGTACCCAAAGACAATCTAGTCCAATCCCTTGCAATGCAGGAGTCACAACTAAAGAACCTCTGACACTTGGTCACCCAACCTCTGTTTAAAAACCTCCAATGAAGTCCACCATCTGACTCAATATAAAGCAGGTTTCTATCTTCCTTAGCCCCTTTTTCTGCATTGCTATGCATTTAAGGGAACTCCCAGCGTTCAGTGATAGTGCATCTGCTTTGCATGCAGAAGTTCCCAGGCTTGGGAATATCTCCAGCCTGAAACCCTTGGAGACCTGCTGTCCATCACTGTAGATAATACTGAGCTAGGTGGACCAAAGTTCTGACTCTGAATGAGTCCTATTGTTCCTATGGAGTGCAACAGCTCTGATGTATAGGATTGTGGACTTACCCTGGAGATATATCTTTCTCTAATATATGGTGATCTCTTCTTTTGTCTGCCGTATACAGATTGGCAGAGGTCCAACTGCTCCTTCTTATTTATATAGATAGAATTGTGTTACTGAAGTAGAAAAAAAAGAGAGAATCTGGTCAGTGAAACCTCTCTAGGAAATGGATTTTGTCTTCCCTCCAACCAGAAGTTGATTAGCTTCTTGTCCCTTTCGTATTACAGAAATTCAATTTTATCTTTGCAAGGGTAGAGTTTGCACAACACTATAGCAGCAGATGGAAGGGAATTTCTCTTTCCGTTGCTACCTAAGCGTACATTTTCCTTTTATCCAAAGCAACACAGGGCAAGGACAGGGGAATTGATGGCCCATTACTAGAGGGTGGCAGAGGATCAAGGCTAGGGATTCCAGTGAGGCAGCTGGCACATGTGACATTTGAAACGGGCCATAAAGTCTGTGTAAGTGGCAGAAACAATGTAGGAAGCCATTTTATACTTTGGCTATTTGATTAATCTAGCTCGGTATTATATAGAGTGATTGGCAGTGGCTCTGCTGGATTTCAGGCTGGGGTCTCTTCCACACCTACCTGGATATGCTTGGGATTGAAACTGGGGCCTTCTGCATACAGTGTGGTGTAGTGGTTAAGAGCAGTAGACTCGTAATCTAGTGAACCGGGTTTGATTCCCCGCTCCTCCACATGCAGCTGCTGGGTGACCTTGGGCCAGTCACACTTCTCTGAAGTCTCTCAGCCCCACTCACCTCACAGAGTGTTTGTTGTGGGGGAGGAAGGGAAAGGAGAATGTTAGCTGCTTTGAGACTCCTTCAGGTAGTGATAAAGCGGGATATCAAATCCAAACTCTTCTACAAAGGCGGGGCTCTCCCATTGAGCCATGGCTCTTACCCAAGATGTGGACTAAGCAAATGTATTTGAAGAATGTAAGAAGATGGTATCTATCAAATTGGACCATTGGTACATCTGAGTACTAACTGGCTCTCCAGCATTTTAAGGCTGGGGACACTCCTAGCCCTACCTGGAGATGCCATAGGATGAACCTGTAGTCTTCTGTGTTAAAAGCTGATGCTCTACCTATAAGCTCTTAGGTGGCAGAGACGTGTTTCTAGCAGTTTCTGGATGGCTAAAAGGGGAATATTTACAAGGGTGTGTGTTAATCTGGTTAATCTGAGTTATGCTGTTTCAGTTAATACTGAATACAACTGTACTGCCACTTCATATTGATAGATGCAAAGGGCAATGTGCTAGGATAGGATAATTGGAAGGGCAGGAGCTCTATCTATCTCCAGATACAAAACTGCACCTCTTCAATCATAGAATCATAGAACTGTAGAGACGGAAGGGACCCTGAGGCCCACTGCAATGCATGACTCACGTCAAAAGAATCCCTCACATATTGTCATCCAGCTACTACTTAAAAACCTTCAATGGTAGGAGAGTCCACCACTGTTTGAGGGAGTCTGTTCCCCTGCCGAACAGCTTTTACTGCCAGAAAGTTCTTCCTGATATTTAGTCTGAATCCCATTTCTTGTAACTTGAATCCATGAATTTGGTTCCTACCCTCTGGAGCAGCAGAAAACAAGCTTGCTGCATCTTCTGTGAGGCAGTCCTTTAGATATATGAAGATGGCTTCCCCATCTCCTTTCAAATCTTCTATTATCCAGGCTAAACATACCCAGCTCCCTCAACTTTTCATCACATAAGGCTTGGTTTCCAGACCCTTGGTCATTTTCGTCACTCTCCTCTGCACACCTTCCAGCTTGTCAATATATAGCCAATCTGCCTTTGAGAATGGGAATAACCAAGGAAGAACATTATTTTTGCAAAAGAAACTTCCACTTGAGCACCATTTTTTTAAAGCATGGAAGGAAATGAAGAAAATGTGTCTTGTATATTTGTAACCTGCTTGGGCTTTGCTGGGACTGACTAGCCATCATCTGCACATGTTCTAGCCTGCTAAAACTAGGAAACCCTAGTTTTGTTTGTGTGGATTTGTGTGTCTGGGTAAAGAGGGAGTGAAGTGGCATTGCGATTCCAATTGTAAATTGCAAGGCTACAGAGAGCCATATGGAGGATGGAGCCAGGGCAAAGCCAGTTGCTGGCCCGCTGGCCCACCATCAGGCCCATGGACTGTCTGCCATCACAGTTCTCTGGGGATCCCCTTTGAGACATTGCTTTCACCAGCAAATGAAAACCAGAAATTCCACTATGGCCAGCATGCTCTCTAGAAGGCAGCTTTTGTGAGAGGGGGAGGCCTTATCCAGCACTGAGTGCAGTAAATTTTTAGGCAATGGTCAAGGGATGCCAGATGGAAACTTTTGAATTGGTCTATCCCAGTTACCTGTTTTGTGGGCTTTGGGAGGAGGAGTTGAAAGATGAAGAGGTAACAGGGCTTGGTGAGAAGGGAGAGTCTGTGGCAGAGAGTCAAGAGGCAGAGTGGAGGCAAGCTGCTGAAGAAGTCAGGGAATCTACCCTCCTGCTGACTCTTCCTGACTCCGCCTCCTGACAGGAGAGTTCCTACTCCAGAACTTTAACCACTAATATCACATTCATTGAGATAAGACTGAACACACCACAACATAGTGTCTCTAGCTCACATCCGAGTCAGTCCAAGTGTTGTTGTTATATCACAAATCTCAACATGGGGCTCATCTGGATTAGAACCAAAACATACAACTAAGGATTAAATCATCCCATCCCCTTTGTGTGTGTGTTCAATCCAAATTGTCAATTAAGAGCCAGGGTGGTGTAACATTTAAAGTGTTGGACTAGGACCTGGGAGAGAAAGGTTCTAAACCTAAGTCAGTCATGACACTCACTGGGTGGTCTTGGGCCAGTCAACATTTCTCAGCCTAACCTTCCTCACAGAGTGGTTTTGATAATAAAATGAGGTTAGGATAACCACATACACCAGTTTGAGATCCTTGGAATGAATGTGACATTCAAGGCTAGCTGGCTGCATTATTTTCTGTCTCAGATACATTCCAATCTGTAGGCGATTCTCTCTTTTGTCTTATTCATCATTGCTAGCCAAAAATTTATCTCAGACAGTCCTTCACCTTGCAAACACCTGTAAGCAGCATAGGTCACAATGCTGGCACATGGGGATTTGATAGGATGGAGGATTACACTTTCCTTCCCCCACCTCTGTCCCCCTGATATGCTGGGTAGCAATGTGCCAAGGTCCAAAGCCTAAGTTCTCTTGGCAGATGCAGATCTTCCAAGTACTATTGTGATTGCATTCCAAATAGAAACTTCAGAGAGTTCACCTATCTCTGCCCTGTAGTGTCAATTTTTAAAATGTGGAAGTTCCTTGTTTTGGTTCTCATTTTTTCTGTACAGGGCTATTCACATTGGTTAACTAAATAAAAAAAAATACTTTAAAAGATAGAAATCAATACCTTACAATACAGGAAGATATAAAGCTTCCGCATATGAAGGCAGACCATTGGTTCATTTAACTCAGTTAAATGGGGTGTACTGGGTGTTAGTGGAAGAGTAGGTGGGAGACACGTCATGCACCTTCTGGGATAGTTTGTCCACCTTTGGTCTCCACCCTGCACTCAGCTCTCACTTGTGGCTCCGAAAAGCTGCCAGCGTGTGACAGCAACCACACCCCAGTAAATGCCTTTGACCTGCCACCTAAACCAAGTGAAGGTAGCTGATGGGTCTCAAACCCTTGATGAGTTAGGGACTCATCAAGGACAGGCTCAGGTGGGTTGAGTGGAGAAGACCAATAGTGGGGCAAGAAGGCAGTTTCTTCATGTGCTGTAGAGGGGCAGATGGGGCTCCTAAACCTGGGACGGTAGCTCATCTAGAAGAAGGAAGACTGATCCTAAACCTCTACTGCCTTGTGGAATATCTTCAGAAGAAGAAAAGGCTAAGGAATAAATCCTACACAAGTCTGAAGTTGAGCCTAGTACACATCCTTGGAGGATGGAGCCTAGTACACATCCTTCTGGCAACTCCTGCAGCCAAGCCATTTCTAAACATCTTACTCCACTCTCCTTTGGACCACATCAGCAAGACTGAGAGAGGGGGTCTTGCCACCAGGGCAGCCCAGGACCTCCATACACACTACCCAGGCTTGTGCCCCAGAGAGGTCACTTCAGTGCTGCTAACACAGTGGCTTGAATTCATCCCCAGAGGTGCACTGATGGATGCCCACAACATCAACATCTACACAAGAGATGGAGAACTTGGGACCCTCCAAGTGTTGTTGGGTTTCAATTCCCATCAGTCCCAGCTCCAAACCATATTTAGGGATGATGGGCCAGTAGATGAGCAACATTAGGAGGAACACAGGTTCACCTCTGGTCTACCTTGACTGGTTTTGTCTCTCCAGGGATTCAGATAGAGTCTTTCCCACTCCCAGCCATATCTGGAGATACACTTAGAACTTTTGCATGCTAAGCAGACACTCTACTATTGAGCTACAGCCCTTCCCCCAAAGAACAAGGAAACTGCCTTACATTGGTTCATCTAGCTCAGGAACTAACTGGCAGCTGCTCTCCAAGGTATCACATGGGGCTCTCTCTGTATCCTACCTGAAAATGCCAAGGATATAGTCCACGTTGATGTGAGATGGATATCCCCTTTCTGTTTTACCCACTCCATCACCTGGATCCCATCTGGCAAGATGTCTCAAAGCTCTGGGATGAGAACAACACAGGTTGTATTGATCTAAAATATCAGCTTCACTCTCTTGTTGCATACCGTCTCCTACCACAGTATTAATTGCCAAGCCTCTGGCCCAGCATGTCATTTGTTATCCAAATATAGCCGCACTACAGACTGTCATGAGGGATCCATTTTTCATTAACTCGAGTGACCAATCCCTTGATAAGCTGCCTTCAAGCTTTGGGATGACGTTCAGTTAAACACTGTCTCGTAGATCGTAAATCATTGCCGTGTTATAGAAAAATATCCTTCTCAGAGCTGCGGGGAGTAAAGCTCTGGCTGAAGGTTTTTAATTGAATAAAACAAACACAGATGAAACCCTCTTTAGATACTCTCAAGCCATTTCTGCTGGATTATATTGAACTGAAGCCACAGAGGCCAAACTGAAGGAAGTGTATTGCAACATGTTTTCCCTCCTGTTTCCATTTCCCTTCCTGCAGAATGGTTACAGCAACACCATGAGGATATAAGATTAGCCCCTCAGGATCAGACCAAAAGCCTATCTCAAATCCAATAATCTGTTTCCTATAGTGCCCAACCAGATGCCTCTGGAAAGCCCATAAACAGGACACAAAGTCAACAGTTCTTTCCAGACCCTCCAAGTGTCCCTATGTTCCCTGATTTAGAGAAGCCATCCAGGTTTCTTATTTGATCCTGAAGTGTCCCACTTTTCCTTAATATGTTCCTATGTTCATTAGAGAAATGTTGGAGGGTACTGAGTTTGAAGGCAATTCTCTATAGAGAAGCCTTTTTATTGTTTAATTATGTTTTTATATGTGTTGGAAGCTGCCCAGGGTAGCTGGGCCAACCCAATAAGTTGTGTGGGGTGTAAATAGTAAAAATATCATTATGGAAAGGGAAAGGGACATTTCATCAGAGAAATGTTGGAGGGTGTGCCTTTCTTGCTGTCTTTCCCCAGCAACTGGTATTCAGGGTCTTCTGCCTTTGGTGCTGGAAGTAATTTGGCCATCATGAATAGCAGCTACTGATCTGCTCCATTAATTTGTGCAGTCTCCTGTTAAAGTTATGCAAGGGCTCTGTCTGATGTGGCTTTATGGAGTGGTAGAGCCACTGCTATGTCCAGAGTTCTACTGCTCATGGAGCAGGCAAAAATCACTGTTTCAGGGACTGCCTGGATGAGGAGGAGTGATGGCAGCCAGCTGTGTGTTAAGATCCCCAGGAGCTTCCCAATAATAAAGACACAATCAACGTGGAATTTAGTTTTAGGTTATTGGCATAATTTTGGTCACAACTTTATTGATTACAGATAGTGAGTGGTTTGTTTAGGCATTGGTTCCCGACTAGCTGCACCTGACCTCAGCAGGACAGCACTGACCACTGGGCCCCACCATATCGTCAGTACAGGTAAACACAGTGGCGGAGCACTGGTACGGTCACGTGACTCAAGCTCATCCCAAAATGCTCCCAGGGGGCCCTACCCCCTGAAAGGGGTCGGTAAAAGCATGGCGAGTCCCTGGATTCTTTTAACGGAATACCTGTTGTGCATTGCCATCAAGTCACTTGCCCGCTTCTGATTTACAGAATCAGACAATGGTCAGCAGGGCTATTCTGGCAGCCTGACACTATGCTGGCATTCAGAGGGCACAGCAGCTGGATTGAAATTGTCCCAATGCTGTCACATAATGGCAGTGGAGCTGGATCAGCTCCTCCCCATCCCCAGAAAGCCCCAGTAGTGATGCTCTAGTGGCTGGAATGTGGACCTCTGCAGGCAAAGGCCAGCTGGGCAGGGCAGAAGGACATCTCTGTCCAATACAATCCCCCAGTCTGGCACAAAGCAGGTTTAGATTACACCCTAGGCAGGTGCAGGGGCACAGCATGGAAGAAGCAGAGGGGCCATGGCCCCAGGGCTGGATTTTTGAGGGGGCGTGAAACAGGCACCCGCATGCAAGTGCCTCCAGTGCAGTGCAGCCCGGTACTCTTCTCCCAGTGTTGGCTGGCCGGGCTCACCCATGTGGGGATGGGCAGGCAGTGCAGTGCAACCCTGCTTGGTTCCGGTGAGGGGCAGGGTCATTCTGGTAGTGTTAGAGGTGAGGACTGGCATGCCAAGGGGGGCTCCTTCACCCTCTGCACCCCCAAGTGCACAACCTCCAGAGCGCCTTCCCTCTTCCCTAGTACGTGTGTGTCTTGAGCTCACATAATGCCACTTGGCTGGTGGCCTTCCCATATGTTGCAGAAATGGATTCCATAGTTTAACAAAACACACTGTGAAGAAGTCATTCCCTTGGTTTGTTTTGAAACATCTAGAATCCAGTTTCATTGGATGACTCCAGGTTTTAGCAGTAAAATCAGCAGCAGGTTGGAAACAACCCCTGTTTTGTATCATTATGCTTTTTATATTCACCATGGTATAGCCAGTTTCCAAAGGGCTGCGTTGTCCCATTTGAAAGGGCAGCATATCAGAGCACAAAAATAGGTTAGCTGATGAACCTTCAGAGTAAACTAAGGAGGGATAAATAACCAATGCCATAATGCTTTCTTTCTCTTTCTCACCCAAGAGATCTACAATATAAACTAATTAGCATAATGATGCATTAAAATTGACCTCTACACAGTTTTTTTTATTTACCGTATATTTATTTTAAAGGTTTAGATACCATTTGATTGTAAAAACAAACCCTCAAAGCAGTTTACAAAACAGATTTAGCAGTACCTGATTCAAAGCCATCCATTTGGAATCGTCCTATTCATCTGAGCCACAATCTAGCTCTAAGCATGTTCCTATGAATCTGAATTCAGATGAAGAGACTTATTTATTTATTTAAAAGCATTTTTAAATTGCTATTTTTTAAAAAAAAATATTCAAGGAGTGTACAAAAATGCAAAGTGAAAAATAATAAAACAGTATGATAAAAACAGAGATTACAACCTAAAAAATACTACTGGGGAGGGGAAAACAGATTAAAAACAGGCATTCAGTAATAATAAATCAGTCTTATGGCATGGCTTATAATTGCTAATTTCATTTAGATGGCTATTAGGACACATGGGCTGCTTATATTAATTTGTAAGTTTACATTTGAATTGATGGAATATTTTTACTGCCAATGTGAGCTGCCAATGTTCCTTCCTTCCTTCCTTCCTTCCTTCCACAATCTATCTCTCTCTCTCTCTCTGTTTGTGTGTGTGTAAAAGGTTAAGGGATGTGTGTGGTGCTGTGGTCCAAACCACTGGCCCTCTTGGGCTTGCCAATCAGAAGGTAGGTGTTTTGAATCCCTGCAACGGTGGTGAGCTCCCATTGCTCTGTCCCAGCTTCTGCCAACCTAGCAGTTTGAAAGCATACCAGTGCAAGTAGATAAATAGGTACCACTCTGGTGGGAAGGTAAACGGCCTTTCTATGTGCTCTAGCTTCCATCACGGTGTTCTGTTGCACCAGAAGCAGCTTAGTCATGCTCACCACATGACCCAGAAAGCTATCTGTAGACAAACACCAGCTCCCTTGGCCTGAAAGCAGGATGAGTGCCACACCCTCCTTTGACTGAACTTAACAATCCAGGGGTCCTTTACCTTTACCTTTTAAATATACACACTAATAGTAGTAGTAATAGTAGTAATAACAACAACAGCAACTCCCATCATCCCTAATAATGGAGGCTGATCCATTTGGGCAAGTGGGACACTGCCCCACCAAACTTGGGGTGCTCACAGCAAGCCCCCACCTTCCAGCTCTCTTACTTAAAACCAATTCAGACTGGTAGCACTGCCTATCTGCTCCCTCCTCCTTAGTCTTAGCATTGTCTCTTGTAGAACTAAGCAGGGGAAAAGATGGGGATAAAACTTGAATTAATTAGTAGGCTCAGTCTGTCATTGGCTCTGGCTCCAACTACTATTGGGCTCCCTGTCTTACCCCCTACCATTCCCAATGGCCACTAGCTACAACTGATCCCTAATCACTGGCAACGCTAACTGGAGCTGATGTTCATATGCTATTTCTGGGTTTCTAAAATCTGAGTCACTCTGATAGTTCTTGGTTCATACTTTACTCTGTGCTGCTTTTTCTAATCAGAAGAATGGTCTAAGAGATCATAGGGTCCTGTGGTGACACCATTCATGAACTCTGAAATGACTAAAATGTAACAGTAAGGTCTCCACTAGTGAATACTAGAGTCACTTGGGAACGGGGTATGGCAATTAAATCTAAATTTTGTCTCAAATCTGAGATTCTGAAATACTGCAGATGAGTATTGACCTGGACCAGGTGTAGTCAAATTAAAGGAGGGATATGTCCCCTTACCCTTTTGCTTCCTAGTCTTCAAAAACAATAGCTAGTTTTAGAAGGCTGGAGTGGGGATAATACTTACTTCTTCCAGTTTGAATATTTTCCAATGTGAAGTGAACATGCATATTGCACTTCATTAAGTATACCTGAAGGAGCATCTACTCCCATCGTTCTGCCTGGACACTGAGGTCCAGCTTTGAGGGCCTTCTGGCGGTTCCCTCGCTGTGAGAAGTGAGGTTATAGGGAACCAGGCAGAGGGCCTTCTCAGCAGTGACACCTGCCCTGTGGAACACCCTCCCATCAAATGTCAAGGAAATAAACAACTATCTGACTTTTAGAAAACATCTAAAGGCAGCCCTGTTTAGGGAAGTTTTTAATGTTTGATGTTTTATCGTGTTTTTAATATTCAGTTGTCAGCCGCCCAGAGTGGCTGGGGAAACCAAGCCAGGTGGGCTGGGCATAAATATTATTATTATGATTATTATCATTATTCACAAAGAACAGGGATGGGAAACCTTTTTCAGCCAAAGGGTGACATTTCCTTTGGGGAGACCTCATGAGGGCCCCATACCAATAGTAGCTGGTGCCAGAAACAGGATAGCAAATATAAATTTTACCTTTCTTCAGCAAGCTAGTTTCAACATTCATTCATACACCCTTTGGTGTGAGGGCTAAACAAGACCCAGAAGAAGACATCTTCCTTGACAAGGAAATGGGAGAATTCAAGGCCATGTCAAGGAGAAAGATGTTGGGGGTGTTTGGAGAGATCAGAAGTATCCAGTATAATGGTTTAATTGACACAGAAGTTAAAAATGGTATAATGTATATTTTAGAAGGTTTAACAAGGGCTTTTTTCCATGAGCCTATATTGAAAGCAAGGAGAGCAGTTTGAGCTCTTGCTAAGTTAATGACTAACTAACTGATTGTTGTTCTCTGGTAGCTAACATGCGAGAGCTGTAACCTTAGTCCGAGGTATTGGGTTTCAAAATCTCCATTTTGAAGGGAGTTGCCTTTGACTCTTTCCCCCCAAATTCAATGGAGTGAAGATGTAAAAAGGAGCTCTCCTGAAGGGAGAGCCAACAGCCTGGAGGCTTGGAGCAGGCTGGAGAGAAAGAGAGACCTTTGCTTTTAGGTCTATTTGGATCATTCCATATTTTTTTAAGATGCTGAGTCTGTGCTGGGCAGCACAAGAGATTGTACTGATATTTTGGATGTATCATTCAATGTATTCTATTTTATTTTTAAGAGTTCTGTCAGTAAAAGTTTGGACAATGATTTATTCCAAAAGGAGTCAATTCTTATGCTTCCAGTTGCTTCAAAGTGCAGAATATTAATATCTGCAACAAGAAGATGGTTCAGCCTTGCCTCATTTCACCTGGCTCAGTTTGCCTTCTAGTCAGCAAAGTGCTGCATTGATGCGTTCATTTGGAAGCATCTGCTTCTGGATTCCGAGAGGCCATAGATTCTTGCTTTTCTCCTCCTTGCTTCCTCCAAAGACAAATAAAAACCCCATCTGTCTCCCCTTTGCTATAATCAAAGCCTGTATCTCTGAGTGGGAAAAATGGAAGCCATGGCTGGGAACAGCGGTCTCCCTTCTGAAGTGCCATTCAGCAGGCAGAGAGAGCTATGGTTGGCTGTCGTGACAGCTTCTCTCTTGCAGGATATACAAACAGTTTGCACAGGCACAGCTCTGTGTAGATCACACGGGGGGGGGGGTGTGGAGAGAAAGATCAATGGCAGAAATTTACCAAAAGGAAGTCACAGGTTTGCTTCTCCCCTCTCTTATGTGGCTCACCTGCCTCCTCAAACACCACCATCCGAACTTGCTTGGAAGGTAGAAGGTGGAACCTCATGATTTCTGCTCTTCTTTCAGTGCACGTGCATGCATTTCAAGGCATGCTCTTCCCATTGCTGCCAAAACAAGCCGCCCTTTCATTCTCCAATGGGACACATGTGATTAGTAGCTTTGGCTAGAGACTCAGGGAACACAGCAGGTGATGTGTTGTGACAGATGCCTTTTGTGGCGGTGCTTGTTCAACACAATGCCCTGTCTGCCTGGCTGTGTTTTCCTGAATCTGCTTGCAGGATGTCAAGACCTAGGCAGAAAGCAAGGCTGGTGATGGGGGGAGGGGTGACAATAAAACCAGCAGGGCTGCAGAGAGGACAGTTGCTAGCAGGAGCGCCAAGTATGGAGGGCCATGGGGGCCAAGGCTCCCACAAAATTCTAAAACAGAGGGCTCCCCCCCCCAACTTCTGTGGCATGCTGCTGAGCATGTGCAAGTGATGTCAGCACACTGCCAGGCATGCACATGTGACATCAGCACACCCCACGGCATGCATAAGCGATGTCAGCATGTCCTGCAGCATGTGCATGCAATGTCAGCATGCCCTAAGGTTATGCACACGTTGTAAGGCATGCACACACAGTGCACTGCCATCACACAGCTCTGGGACCCCTCTATCATGGGGGCAAGGTGACACATGTATTTGCTATTCTCCCCACCAACTCTTTCTGGGGAGGGCCATCATTGGGGAAGATCCATAAGCTTAGAGGTAAGCTTTGCATTAGGGGTGGACAGGTCAGCCAATCTCCATTTTCTGTCAGTTTTGGATGTGCTCAGCTGTATCTCATCTATTTCTCTCTCTCTCTGTGTGTGTGTGTGTGTGTGTGTAAAATACCAAAACATGTGTTTAAATTGTATGCATTGTTGTATGCCCTGTGCTTAAAATGCACATTTTGTACACATTTTACCCCCAAATATGCATTTATGTGTGCTTTCTCCCTGAAATACATATTTTATATGCATCTCCCCCATAAACTTCCCATAAATTCCCCCCCATTTTTGAAGTGAACCCAAAATTTGCAGTATTTTCACATTTGTATACAGAACCAGTTTGATGCAGTGTTTAGACCAGGGTTCAAATCTTTCCTCAGCCCTGAAATTCACTGGGTGGTGAACTTGGGCCTGTCACAATTTCTTAGCCTAACCAAAGGGTTGTGAGGGTAAAATAGGTGGGAAGAGAACCATGTATGCTGCCAAGCTTATTGGAGGAAAGGTGGAATATAAATGTGATAAATTTAAAAGAATTCTTGCTTGCAACCTTGCATAATATGCATACCTTTGCAAGCAATTTCTCCTAGTATAATGCACTTTTGCGTGTTATTTGCACAAATATATCTATTTTATGCAAACTTTATAAGCACATTTTTGTGCATATTGTTGGGTTGGAGAACTGTGCCACAAAATTTGGAGAAGTGCAGATTTCAAAGCATAGCTGTATTATGGGTTGATGTTCACATTAAATAGGTTGATGTTCACATTAAAAATGTGAGTTAAATGAATTTCTCCCCTGCTCCTACCTCAGAGGTATCTCTCGTTTCAAATAGTGACTGACTTGCTCCAAACCTTGAAATATATGGAGGAACAAAGAAAGAGGGATAAAACAACTAGAGCTGATAAGCCAGCCATGTACCTTTCCCGCCTCTCATCCTCCCAACCCCTGGCCACCTCCTACTTTAAGGTTCAGCATATGCTGGGAACAAGCTCCCAGGGCGGATGAAAGCCAAGCATTCCTGTGCTTGTTGGCACCATGGAACAGATGGCAATAGTAAAATGAAGTGTGTTAATTAGTGCTATTATTTTGAATGGAAACATATTGCGTGTGGTGTGGCTTTTGTGAGCAGCCTAGCCCCCACAGAGTGAGTGTGAAGGTCCCTAACTAGTTGGGAGACAGGAGGAACTGGCTGGGGGATCAAAATGCAAGAGGGGGGCTTCTCAGGTTGAACACAGTCACAGAACCCCACCATACAAGAATGCAATGAGGCTGACTTCCAGACCTAAGGCAGATTCCTCCATCATCTGTGTTTGGTGGGGAATGTGCCATAATAGGCAAACTGCTGCAGTGGAATAGAATCCCATAGAGGGCTTCTTCCCAGCATATTCCCTGACACATGAGAGACACACTCCTAGGGATCAGTTTGACAGTGTCACTGAAGGAATGCCCAGCTAGAATAGGAAACCTTCCTGACAAGGACACAATGGCCAGCTAGTGTGCTGGGGTCAGTCTGGAAGAAACTGCAGTTCATCGATTCACCACATGGGACAGCTTTATACAGATCTAGCAGTGGCTCTCCAAATGTTGTTTGCATCCAGTCCCCATCAGCACCAGCCAGTATGGACAATGGTAAGGGATGGTGGCAGTTGTAGTCCAGTAGCATCCAGTAGACCACAGGTTATCCATCTCAAGTCCACTGTTTAGGACAGGAGCTCTTCACCACCTGCTACCTGAGATGCTTTGTAACTGAAGTGACAAGGGACTGAACTCAGGACATGCAAAGCTGGTGCTTTACCACTGAGCTATAGCCCTTCCTCCTAGAAAACATAATCTAAGCAGTGTTTTGGAGGTACTTCACTAACTGCCAGTGAGTGACTGCGTGGAAGCTCCAATATAACACCCAGACTTACTTGGGGTAAAGCTCTGTATGCAGAAGACCTTTGCTGAATTAATCAGAATAGTCATGAGCAGCTCCAGCAAAAAATAAAAAAGGGGGGGGGAGATAATAATAATAATAATAATTCATTGAGTATATTACTCAAAGCAACCCGAGTAATGCATTCATCAGATTCTGCTCAATGAACTCTGGTGGCTTATTTCTGTTTTCTCATCTAATTTCCTCAACCGGAAGTCTGCCAAAAATGGTAAATGATGCTATTAAATAAAGGAGACCAAGGTGTCAGTGGGACTGTGGCCAAATGGCTGAAGATTCTTGACAACACAGCCACTTAGCGGTAACTTAAGTCAAGGGCTGGTTTTGTTTCTGTTAGGGTTTTTTTGGGTTTTTTTTAGTTTAGGAAGCGATGGGTTTTGATTGGACTGGGGAAATGGGGTGGAGAGATGTATTTGGCAAAAGGTGGGAATAGACTCAGAGGTGGCTTCATTAAGATGGATGGATGGGAGGTGGCAGCTCCTCTATGCTGAGCTATTCAAAGTGAAATGGGATAATTGCCACCGTTGCAACGAGGCTGATCAAGCTGAGAGAAACAAGGTTTAAATTGTACCAATCACTCCTAATCCGGCAGAGTTATTAACAGAGTTCTACCCTGGTGAGACTGCATCTGCTAACTTGAGATAATGATTTATATCACAATTTATGAAAGTTCCAATTTATCCTAATTCAATAAGTGAAGAGGCAGCAAGCTCTGGGGAGCCACAGATGCCGATTCAATCATGGCCTTTCTCCCCTACCTCCAATGACTTTCTCCAGCAAGGAGGAGGAGGGGGAAGAAGCAGCACTTCCTTCACATTACACCTTTCCTCTTGGTAAACCCATGAACAACCAAGTATTTGGAAAAGGATGCATTTCTAGGGTTTGGATGTGTGTTGTTTTAGGGTAAATGTTTTGGCATAGAAACATAAGAACCATCTTGCTGGATCAGGTCACAGGTCCATTTAGTCCAGAATCCTGTTCTCATAGTGGCCAACCAGATGCTTATGGGAATTATACAAGCAGGAGCTGAGTACAAGAAGGAGAGAATGGAAATTTCAACTAGTAGAAACGCTATTCAGCTTACATTATTTTTATGATTTAAGAATAAGGATGGAGAATCAATGGCTGTGTGTGCATGTGTGCGATGAGGAACCTGTGGTGACTCTCCATCAGACCTGATCAACAGGCCTTAGCAAGGCTGATTGATAAGAATTGGGGTCCAACAACTTCTGGAGAGCCACAGGTTACGTATTCCTAGTTTTAGAATGTAAGGTTCATTATGTTGGATGTTAGCATCCAAAATGCACATGTAAAGGGTTGTAGAACCCTGTGATGTCATACACTTTGTGAAAGTTATTTCAGTTGGTTCAGTTATCAACAGTTTTATGAGTCTTAGCAGTCAGAGTGGCAGGAATGTTGTGTTGTGCTGCTGTCTGCCTCAAAGTCGGAGTATGTCAATTTGTAAATAGTTACAGGTAGGTAGCCGTGTTGGTCTGCCGTAGTCGAAATAAAAGAAAAAAATTCCTTCCAGTAGCACCTTAGAGACCAACTAAGTTAGTTATTGGTATGAGCTTTCATGTGCATGCACACTTCTTCAGATACACTGAAACAAAAGTCACCTAGACCCTTATATATAGTGAGAGGGTGGGGAGGGATATTACTCAGAAGGGAGGTGGGAATGGGTGATTGGCTCATAGGGGTGGTAAACCTGTTGAGGACTGTTAACGACTGCAATTGGTCTTAAAGGAAAAAGCAAGGGGTGAGATGGCTAAAAATAGCTTTATCATGTATAATGAGATAAGAATCCAATGTCTCTAGTCAGACCAGGTTTCTCCATGGTTTTAAGTTTGGTAATAAGTTGCAATTCAGCAACTTCTCTTTCCAGTCTATTTCTGAAATTCTTTTGTAATAAGACAGAATGTGCAGAATGTCCTGGGAGATTGAAGTTTTCTCCTACTGGTTCCTCTGTCTTGTGATTCCTGATTTATGTCCATTTATCCTTTGGCGTAGGGTTTGGCCTGTTTGTTCAATATAGAGAGCTGAAGGGCACTCTTTCAATTTGTAAATGTTAGTTGGTCTGTAACAGTTTAATCTATGTAAAATACTTTAGCAACTAAAAGAAACATCCACCTGCATTGTATATGTATTTAATCTGAAAGTGCAAGTATATTAAGTAAAAGTTATATGCTCTTTAAACTTTACATGAGAGTGTCTTGTGTAGTTTATATAGGAGGGAAAAGAGAACTAAAGGGTCAAACAACCCAGGGCTGCCTTCTGCATACTCTGCAGATGGGAGCTACAGTCTAATTTCCACACACTATCCATTATGCATTGTCACATTTCTCCAAAATAAAGGAATTTGGGTAGTTTAGTCTGGAAAGGACTATAAGAGGTTCTTTGATAGCCCTTTGCAAATGGCTATCACATAAGTGAGAGAGAAAATTTGTTTTCGCTTACTCTGTAGGGAAGGTCCCAAACAAAAAAGCTCAAATTACAAGAAAAGGATGTTCATCAAAACAGTAGGATGATCTTTCTGATAGTACAAGCTGTTTAGACAGAGGAGCAATCTTTCTGTTCTGCTGATAGGAGTGTCAGCAGCTGGTGATTAGTCTGCCATTTCCCTCCCAGGAACCCCCTCTAGATGTTTTGGATGATGACTTCTACCAGCCCCAGCTAGATTTTACTTGCTCATCTTACTTACATTTGGGATTTGTAATTGAGCAGTATATTCAAATGGGGTTTAGGAGTCCACCACCTCCATCATTTTTGTGCTGTGTTGAATGTGGAAAACAAAACTGTATGTTATTGGTGTTGGAATGGAATGCTGATTTAAAGAAACAGGTACATTTTTCTGGAAGCAGAGGCTGTCAAGAGGGAGAATAATAAAACCCAAGATGGCAGAAACACCGCTGAATGTCTCTTTGATTGTCGGTATTATGTAAAAATTACTAGACAAGCAGCTGATAGAATTAAGAGCTGGGATGTGTGGCATGTTAAAGGAGATTGGATCAGAGAAATGCCAGACTGAAGAATCTACAGGACCTGTGGAAAAGGATGGTGATCCAGGACTGCTTGAACCTGAAAAAGTAAAGTCAAAATGCACAGCAGCAGATGTTGGAATGGAGTGGACATCAACATAGCTGTCTGGAGAATTTGATCAGACAAAGGATGCCATTGTGCTGGAAGAGAAACAACCAGAGATGGCAGAACACATAAATGATGCTGTTGTGCCTCTGGAAGAAATGAATGGAATTATAACCAGAAACATTAATAAACAACTGTAGATGGCAAAGCTGAGAGAGAAATGCCCTTGTGTACAAGCTAAAGTAAACACAGAAGAAGCTCCCAAAATTTTGGTGATCGACTTGGGAAAATAATTGAAAAAATGGGAGGAAAGTGACTTTTTCATTTCTCTTTAAACCAGAATACAGAATCATGGCCAACAGCAAATCAGACTGGAATATATGGAATTGGGTATGAATCAATGAAGAGATAACAAATAATTATGGACTATCATACTGTTGGGATTTGTTTGAACCCTTGGAGAGAAACTCATCATACTGGATTTGAAAATGACTATGCTTTAACGATAATAAAAATTGAAGAGCTTTGATTGGACTTTTTTTGGGGGGGAAGGGTGAATGCGAGAGGACTGGTAATGAAGACTGAAAAAATATCATCTAGCAGATGGAGAAATAGCTGGACAGTAGTACAGCCAGATGTTATCCTGGAGTGCATAGTCTGAATATTTTGAATAACTGTTACATACGTAATTGGCAGACAGAGAACTGGAAGCCCTTCTTATTTCTTTTTCTTTAGTTCTTTTATATCTTGCTTTTCTATGACTTTCCTTTTTCATTATTTATATTTACATTTTGTTTTGTAATTTGAAGTTCTCTATCTTGGATTAAGGAAGATACACATAGGAAAGTGCTAGATCACGGGTAGGTAAACTAAGGCCTGGAGCCTGGATCCGGCCCAATCACCTTCAAATTCCGGCTTGCGGGAGGTCTGGGAATCAGTGTGTTTTACATGAGTAGAATGTGCCCTTTTATTTAAAATGCATCTCTGGGTTATTTGTGGGGCATAGGAATTCGTTCATTCCCCCCCCCCCAAATATAGTCCGGCCCCCCACAAGGTGTGAGGGACATTGGACCGGCCCCCTGCTGAAAAAGTTTGCTGACCCCTGTGCTAGATTGAAGATGAAAGCCCCTGTGTGAAGGGCAGGGCGGAGAGGATCTCCTAGAGTGGGAGGCTAGGGGGAAGAGGGGGAAGCTCCCAAGTGGGAGCTGGGAAGGTTCACTCTTCTGTGTGTGGAATAAGGGTTAAGATTTCGTTTTAATAAATCTGATAGAGAGCTTTATAATTTCCTTTTATTCTTCTCTTATTTTCTTCTTCATTTCATTTCATTTCATTTCATTTCCCTATTCCTTCTTTTTATCTTTATTTTCTAGATTAGTGTGACTTGACTATTGTATTTTATGTTGAAAACTGTTAGTAAAAAAGTATTGAAAAAAGCAAAATGAAACATCTGAAGGGCACCAGGCTATCAAAGGCTGGACAAGAGAAATAAAGAATTGATTGAAACAACTTTATTTTCGAGGACCTCTCAGGAAAAGTTGTGAAACAACTTCTAGGTTTAGGGAATAACCTGGATCGTGTGCCTTTAAGGCAAGTTGTAAAAATTACCAACTTCGTAATACTAAGGGAATCTCCAAATTAAAATTTTATATCATTACATGGATTAGATGGTGCACTTCAATTCAATATAATCAGATAGCAGTCCAATAGTAGAATTCTACACAAGCCATTTAAATATTTTAAAATTTTATTTATTTAAGGTGAGAGCTTTTTATTTTTCTGTTATTAGCAGCATTGGCAGTGGAATCACACCACCGAACTAGTTGTGCTGTTTTGCAAATGAATAAAAATAAAAATAAAACAAACTCTTGTTTCATAATTTTTTTGTAAAATATTCCAAAGTACTGTTTCTCGTTCTACGCCACCATGATATGAGCAGGAAACAATTTCAGAAACACAGAATCAACAACATCTAGGTGGAATCTTCCAGTGGAAGAGGATTCTCTTACTAATTTTTTTCCTGTAAGTTGCCCCTATGTCAGGAATGGGCAGGAGCCTGAGGAGTGGGGAGAGGAGACAGGTTGTGGGCAGAGGAGACAGGTTGGGAGGAGGGTGTTTTGGGAAAGGGGTCAGTAGTTTGTGGAGTTCTGTGCCACCGTTGCAGCAGCTGCCAGTAGTGGAGAAATGGGGTTAGGAGCAGGAGACCGGGTGGCCAGAGACAGGGGGAAGGAAACAAGAGAAGAACTGTAGGACGTTCCACGGCCACGAGAGCATGCAGAACTCCAAGATAGAGTCATGTCTGTGGAATCCCGCAGGTCACCCCCTCAATTGTTGCCTGGTGTTTGAGCGTAACATGTCAGCCAAGGGAGTCTGGAGTGGGTGGAGCTAGGCTGTTGCTCCAACCATCCAAGATAGGACACAGGTCAGGTGAGAGGTTGCCTAGATAGCTAGTTAGTGGGGAGTGATGTTGTATAACACCTGCACATTGGGAAGTGATGTAACTGAGCACTTCACCAATTGTTGCTGTTGTTTAGTCGTTTAGTCGTGTCCGACTCTTCGTGAGCCCATGGACCAGAGCACGCCAGGCACTCCTGTCTTCCACTGCTTCCCGCAGTTTGGTCAGGCTCATGTTTGTAGCTTCGAGAACACTGTCCAACCATCTCATCCTCTGTTGTCCCCTTCTCCTTGTGCCCTCCATCTTTCCCAACATCAGGGTCTTTTCCAGGGAGTCTTCTCTTCTCATGAGGTGGCCAAAGTATTGGAGCCTCAACTTCACCATCTGTCCTTCCAGTGAGCACTCAGGGCTGATTTCCTTAAGAATGGATACGTTTGATCTTCTTGCAGTCCATGGGACTCTCAAGAGTCTCCTCCAGCACCATAATTCAAAAGCATTAATTCTTCGGCGATCAGCCTTCTTGATGGTCCAGCTCTCACTTCCATACATCACTACTGGGAAAACCATGGCTTTAACTATACGGACCTTTGTTGGCAAGGTGATGTCTCTGCTTTTTAAGATGCTGTCTAGGTTTGCCATCACCTTTCTCCCAAGGAGCAGGCGTCTTTTAATTTCGTGACTGCTGTCACCATTCCGTGACTGCTTCACCAATAAAGAACTGGAAATCCAGTCACTTGTCCTGGTTGGTCTGGGTATGAATCTGAACACCCAGACACACAACTAAATGCATTAAAAACCTAATTTGCTGGATTGGCAGAAGGGATTGCCAAACTCTCTGTGATATGCAGATATTGAGCCCAGTTTTGCAGAAGTCCAGAACAGTTCCTAAAGATGTAAAATAGGGATAGAAACAGAGTATTCTGACTTATACTATATATTGTGGCCAAAAACAAAGACAAGCACCATCTTATGCTTTAAATATATCCTAACTGTTGAAATACAGTGGTACCTCGGGTTACATATGCTTCAGGTTACATACACTTCAGGTTACAAACTCCACTAACCCAGAAATAGTACCTTGGGTTAAGAACTTTGCCTCAGGATGAGAACAGAAATCGTGCTGCGGCGGCATGGCAGCAATGGGAGGCCCCATTAGCTAAAGTGGTGCTTCAGGTTAAGAACAGTTTCAGGTTAAGAACGGACCTCCAGAACGAATTAAGTACTTAACCCGAGGTACCACTGTAATAGAATCATACAATCATAGAATTGTAGAGTTGGAAGTCGATCCCCTGCAATGCAGGAATCACACCTAAAGAATCCCTGACAGGTGGTCACCCAACCTTTGTTTAAAAACCTCCAACGAAGGAGAGTCCACCAATTTCCAAGGTAGTCAAACAGCTCTTACTGTCAGAAAGATCTTCCTAACGTTTAGTCAGAATCTCCTTTCTTGTCATTTGAATCCACTGGTTTGAGACCTATTCTCAGGAACAGCAGAATAGAGCACTGCTATTCCTTCCCTCGATCTGGACACTACTTCTGTTAAAGCAGTCTACAATAGCATTGGCCTCTTTTGTTGCTGCATCACACTGCTGACTCAGAATCACATTTGCTACTATGCTTGCTTTTATATCAGACCCTGGCCACCTCTAGAATGCAGCCCCTGAAAAGTTGTCTGCAGGGAATAGAGACATTGGCCTGAAAAGGTTTCTACAGTCCTGCCTTGGGGTTTCAGCCAGGAGTCTTTCCAAGACCTACCTGCACATTTTATGGACTGAACTTCGAACCTTTTGCATGCAAATCAGCTGTACTGCCATACTACCAATGAGCTACAGCCCTGCATTGGACAGAGCCCAAGGCCTTAGTATCTTCTTCAAGTTGAAAAAGCTTCACAGGCTCGCCCTCACTCTCAGATGCCTCCTCCCCTCCCTCCTCCTCCTCTCCCTTTCAATCCAAGTTTTGAAGTAATTGCTTTCAGCTCGTCGTGTGCCAGATGTCACCACCGTTAGACATTCAATCTGTAACAATGAGGGAGACATTAAAAAAAAAAAAAACCACCAGTGACTATTAAATATTTATCAAGATTATCTTGCTGACCTTTATTTTTATAACTGTTTGCACACTCACGAGGTGCTGGCAAGAGAGATAGAGAGAGAAGGAAATAGCTTCAAATGCACCCACGCCTGTTTTCTGCTCTCCATGGTCCCTTTTCCCTTTCCTCTTTCTGAATCCTCCTACTGTTGAGTATGGAAAAAATCCCACCAGGCTGACAACTTGGCAACATCAGAACAGGCTGTACACTAAATGGGAAAGAGCATTAATTACTACTATTACTTTTAGTGAGAACATATTGCAGTAGCAGAGGGAGGAGGCATCGTGTCAGAATTCTCTGTAGGCCTTGAAGAGGCAACATTGCGGTCAGCAAAGCAGGCAGAAGTTTCCTGCTTCTCCCAGATGTTTGGTCCCCCCCCCCCTTGATGTGCCCTTGAAATAAAGTTCATCCTCCCACCCCATAGCAAAATCCTGCTGTGTTTAAATTGGGGCGCTCTGCCTCTCTTCTCTGTGCATTAAGACTTAAAACTGAGAGAGAACTGGAGAGATTTAAGTTGACCCCTCCCCCTGCTTCTTTCTGGTTTGACCGTCATACCTAATTGAATTGCTTTCAGTCACTGCCAGACTTTGATGACTGCCTTAAGAATAAGGCTGGCAAAGTAACAGAGAATGACAGCTGTTTTTTGCAGCTGGTTCTAAACTATGGAACAGGTCAATGGGCAAAAATGAACTGGAGCTTGAAAACAAGGAAAGCATAAATTTAACTCTTGGCTGTGCACTGCCTGACAGGAAACTTGCACAGTCTCTCTCTCTCTCTCTCTCTCTCTCTCTCTCTTACATACACACACACACACACACACACACACCCCAGTTGGTTAGGTCCCAGAGAGATCTGTGGATAAGAGCAGTCCTTTTCAGATGTGTTGCCAATACTCGCTTCCAGTAGCACTTCATGAAGGAGAAATTCAATTCAAGGCAAAAATTGTCTAATTCACACTTTCCAAAGCACAACCATTCCTTCAAAATTTGCACTTCTTTAATTTTTTCGATGCAGTTCTCCAGCAAAGCAATGTGCACAAGGGTAAAGTGTACACAAAAATACATATATACATGAAAACAACATATGAAAATGAATTATTTATGGGGAAATTGCTTTGCAAAAGAAAAGTGGACATGCTGGGAGGAATTTACATGAAAATGCTTTAATAAAGATAATTCACAAACTGACATGTAAATGTGAATTTAAGATTAGAAAAAATGAGTTACTGAGCCAGGGTGCGGGGCTGTGGGGAGCAGGGGGCGGTCATGTTGGTGCTTCCCATTCATACAGTCCATTTCATGTTCCATGTCTTGCAGGCTCTTTTCCTTCTTGCCTGGGAAGGTGGGTCCCTGACTGATTCTAGCTACAAAAGCTGATGCAAAAGTAGAGCAGACTATTGGGCTGAGGTACTGTTTGGTGGGTGGGAGGGAAGCATTCTTACATTTATTGATATTAACTTTTGTATATTTATTTTAGATATTAAGATTTATGTGGAAATTGTTCAGTTTGGTTGTGTACTTTTTGATGTGTTTTATTTATTGTTTATGACTACTTTTGTTATGCTTGTAATTATGTAATTTGTTCATGTTACAAGCTGCCATGAGCATGGTTTTAACTATGGAAAGGTGGCATACAAATAAAATTGTGTGTGTGTATGTATTCATATATGTATGTATTTAACCTCTCCTCAAAACAAATTGGAATGAATACTCATTAAATAGCTAGTGTCATCCAATGTCTCAAAATGGCACTGCAAAAACACACAACACATAAAACTGGGTGGTAGTGTGGAAGACAGTGGAGAATTGCAGTGAAAACTGGAAGAACAGTCAAAGTAGTGGCAATGGGCCCTTCAAGCATGCTGAGCTTTAGATGTTGCCTGACGATAAGGACTTAAGAACATAAGAAAGGGTCTGCTCGATCAGGCCAATGCCATCCTGTTCTCACAGTGGCAAGTCACATGTCCTTGGAAAACCCCAAAGCAGAACCAGAGTGCAACAGCAATCTCCCTGCTTGTCAGTCTCAGTAACTGCTATTCCGAGGCATACTGTTTCTGGTAGTGGAGCTAGAACATTGCCATAATGGCTAATAGTCACTGATAAACTTATCCTCCATGGATGGTACCATCTTTCCCCGAAAGTAAGACATCCCCCGAAAATAAGACCTACTTCCAGTTTTGCCTCTCAATGTAATATAAGCCCCCCCTGGAATATAAGGCCCCCGAAGCTACCGTAAGGCAACTGACTCCTTTAGACCGTAGCGGTGGGCGCCGCCACGCAGCTCACTGATTGGCCGCAGCGCAGCCAGAGCTGTTCAGGCAGTGCGAGGTCTCTTTAAATCAGAGAGCCCGCACCACCGCCAGGACAAGCTGCCACCTGCTGCTCGCTCTGCCCTGACGGAGTCTGGTTAACTCACAATTAGACAATAAATGTGTACCGTATTCTTCTTCATGGAAAAATAATACATCCCTAGGGCATCTTTGGGAGCAAAAACTAATATAAGACACTGTCGTATTTTCGGGGAAACAGGGTAGGATGACATCCTTTAAAGTCAGTTCAGGCCACTTGGGGACTTGAAGGGTGAGCTGTGGTCTTCCAAAAATTCTACAGCAAAGCAAATTATTTTCCTCCAAGCATTATAGGCATAGCACTGTGGCCATCCAAATACGTTTGCTAAATCTGAAGGGAGGTGAAGAACACGCAGGATCTTTTAGCAATACCAGCTCCCTCCTACTTTGGAGAAGAGCTATAGCTTAGTGGTAAAGCATGTCTTGTGCATGCAGTAGGTCCCATGTTCTATTCTTGATATATCCAGGTATAGCTGTGGATGTAGATGACCTGAAACCTTGGAAAGCCCCTGCCAGCCAGTGCAGGTAATACTAAGTTAGATGGACAGTACAAGGCAGCATCCTATGCTCTTCCTTCCTTCCTTCCTTCCTTCCTTTCCTTTCCTTTCTTTTTTCCAATAATGTTTATTAAGTTTCTTGCAAATATAACACATACTGAAAAACAAATAAAAAATAAAATAAAAAGAGAAATGAAACAAATAAAGCAAATAACAACAAAAGATATAACAACAAACACATAAATACAATACAAATTAATAATTGATTAAACTTCCAACCTCATAAACATATTACTTGACTTCCTCTAATCCCTCCCATCTGAATTTCCTTGTAACGTAATGTAGCAGTTTTCCAATATCATTATTCAAAAACAATATTCCAATTATAGTCAAGTTTCTTAACTTTTCTTAACCTTCTAAATCTCATTTATTTAATTAAATCCTAATTTAATCCTAGGCCTAATTGATACTTTCAGGTAACTTCTAATTTTTAATGTTACAATATTTATTCAAATACTCTTTAAATTTCTTCCAATCTTCTTGATATTCCTCTTCTTTCTGGTCAGGATTCTTCCAGTGCAGTCAGCTAGCTCCTTGAAGTCCACGATCTTCATCTGCCATTCTTCCACAGTTGGTAATTTTTGTGTTTTCCATTTCTTGGCTATTAAAATTCGAGCAGCAGTTGTGGCATACAAAAATAATTTAACATCTTTCTTGGGCAATTCCAAACCTATTATTCCAAGAAGAAAGGCCTCTGGTTTCTTAATAAATGTATATTTCAACATTTTTTTCAGTTCATTATAAATCTTCTCCCAGAAGTCTTTCACCTTGGGACAAGTCCACCACATATGGAAAAAAGGTACCTTCTTTTTCTTTACATTTCCAACAAAGGTTAACACTGCTGCGATAAATCTTTGCTAGTTTTACGGGGGTTAAGTACCATCTATACATCATCTTCATAATATTTTCCTTTAACATCCATCCTTCCTTTCCTGACTGGATGATTTTAAGGAGAGGACCCTCCTCTAAACCAAGCATCCCCAAACTCGGCCCTCCAGATGTTTTGGGACAACAACATCATCCCTAGCTAACAGGACCAGTGGTCAGGGATGATGGGAACTGTAGTCCCAAAACATCTGAAGGGATGAGTTTGCCTATGCCTGCTCTAAACCTTCAATCTCACTCAGATTGTTGTAGCCAAGAAGCTCCATTCCAGCTGTGTGAATGCACTTCAATTTTAAAATTTAATGTTGTAAATTTGTTTTTATGTTGTAAACGCTATGGGCTACATTGTATGATATTAGAGGAAATTTTCTTTTTATTCTGTGTTGTCCATTGTAAAGGCCTTTGGCTATATATAATAATACTGACCAGATCACTCGGGTTGTGCTCACTATGTTAAACTTTCTAGCGGTGGGCCTTAAATGATTGAATACTTCTCCACAACCACACATAAAAATACAATGAAAACTATACACTCTTCCAGCATGACATGGAGAAAGCTAAATGGATCCCTTCTCCCTAACATGCTAGTGTCTACACGGAGGGATTTTTGTTGTTGTTTTAGTGTTCACTTTTGACAATGTTCACTTTTGACAATACGAAGAAATGCGTTTGGTTGTATGCATGGAAGGTCACTTGACTTGAGGGCTCCATCCAAGATCAAGGTCAAGCTTGAGACTCACAGGGAAAATCCAGCAGTGTTGGTTCAAGAGTTTAAAGACCCAGCGTGCTTGTAGGACCTTGGAAGTCTCCCAGGATTCTTCTATGATAATGTAAGCAGGTACCTAGCTCCAAATGAGGTCTTATATATTTTGGCAGAACTATAGTGCAGTAAGCCCCACCTTCCCAGAGGAGCTTGTCGGCTATTAAAGGCACCTTTGCCTTATTCTGCTGTCTTGGAATTTGCAGGACTGAAGAGAAAAAGACACTGCAAAAGGCTCCTCTGAATCAGAGGAGAGAGGCAACACTATTCTGGCTCTGAGGGTTCTGAAAATGGTCCTGACAGATCCTCCCCCAAGGATAGAACTGTAGATTCATCCTCCTCTGAGTCAGTTACACAGTTCATGTTCTCTGGGTTGTATGCCATGACACTGGGACAGAAATCCCATGATAAATTTCTATCCTAAAGCCCATGTTGAATGGGCACTCCAGTGCACAGATCCTAAAACACAAGGAAAAATGGGATGCATACACACACTGTGTACAAGAATGTTGTATGCTGCAGAAGTGGTTAGTGGTGGGTTAGAGGGCTTGGGATATAGAGAAAATTTAGTAGTAGGGGATCAGTTCAAAAAAGTTTGAGAAATGATGAGTTAGGTGTTTGGTGCAAATGTTAAACATAGTGGGCCTGAGTCTTATTATTTGATGCAGCCATTTTTTCCTGTGCAGTGGCAGACCAGGAATCAGTAATCGAAAAAGGGCTGCTGCTGAAATCAATTGCAAAAGCCATTAAGCATATATATATATATATACACACACAGCAAACTCCAGCTGACGCCATTCATTCCTTCTCCTCAACAGCTTGTTGTTCTATTGGCTCTGATTGTCTGGTTGGGACTCTATATCCGGAAGATCCATTGGCTGCACTCAGGCATGACAAAACCAGTCACCTGTTAAATTTAGATTTCTTGAATCTGCCAACAGCCTGACACATTGATAAACAGCCGCGGTTTTTAGAAAAGGTTGGGAAAGCTCGCTCACTCTCCGTTAATTGCTTTGTGGTACTGAACCATAAAAACAGCATTGACTCAGTTCTGAGCAATCTCCCCATAACACAGGGGAATGGTGGCTCCTCATAACAAGACGAAGGGCTCTCCATCACTCTCCAGACGGTGGGGTCACCTGACCCTTTGAAAAACAAAGGCAGTTCAAATTTACTGCCAGCACAGCTGCTGTGTCAAGAGAAAGGAGGAGCAATGGCCACCAGGCCACTGTTAACAAAGAAATAGACTTTCCAGATGGTGACTACCAGTCCATCCCATGATCCATGAGAAAGAAGAGGTGACTACAGGAAGTATTCACTACATTTATGAGATAGTTAGAAGGCAGATTAGGCTTTTGAGAGGCCTTATGGAGTGATGGGGTGATGTAACTTAACAGGTAGAAACATAGAATCGTAGAGTTGGAAGAAGAGGAGTTTGGATTTGATATCCCGCTTTATCACTACCCTAAGGAGTCTCAAAGCGGCTAACATCCTCCTTTCCCTTCCTCCCCCACAACAAACACTCTGTAAGGTGAGTGGGGCTGAGAGACTTCAAAGAAGTGTGACTGGCCCAAGGTCACCCAGCAGCTGCATGTGGAGGAGTGGAGACACGAACCCGGTTCCCCAGATTACGAGTCCACCACTCTTAACCACTACACCACACTGGCTCTACTTTGGGAAGGGACCCAAAAGGTCATCTATTCAAACCTCCTGCAGGGAATCTCAGCTAACGCATCCATGGCAGATAGCCATCCAAGCTTTGTTTAAAATCCTTCAAGGAAGGAGAGTCCACAACTTCCCGAGGGAGACCATTCGCTGTCGAACAGCTCTTACTGTCAGAAAGTTTTTCCTGGTATGTTTAGTCTACTTCCTTGTAACCTGAAGCCATTGTTTTGAGTCCCACCCCCCAGAGCAGGAGAAAATAAGCTTGTTCCTTCTTTCATGTGACCACCCTTCAGATATTTGAAGATGGCTATCATATCTCCTCTCAGTCTCCTCTTTGTCAGACTAAACATACCCAGCTTCTTCAACAACTCCTCTTAAGGCTTGGTTTCCAGACCCATGATTACCTTGGTTGTCCTCCTTTGCACATGTTCCAAATTGTCAACATCCTTCTTAAACTGTAGTGCCCAGAATTGGACACAATATTCCAGGTGTGGTCTAACCAAGGCATAATAGAGTGGTACTATTACTTCCTTGAAGGGACGCGGATGGTGCTGTGGCCAAACCACTGAGCCTCTTGGGCTTGCAATCGAAAAGTTGGTAGTTCGAATCCACGTGACAGGGTGAGCTCCCATTGCTATGTCCCAGCTTCTGCCAACCTAGCAGTTTGAAAGCACACCAGTGCAAGTAGATAAATAGGTACTGCTGCGGCAGGAAGGTAAATGGTGTTTCCGTGTGCTCTGGCTTCTGTCACAGTGTTTCGTTGTGCCGGAAGTGATTTAGTCATGCTGACCACATGACCCAGAAAGCTGTCTGTGGACAAACACAGGCTCCCTCGGCCTGAAACGAGATGAGTGTCACACCGCAAAACCACCTTTGACTGGACTTAACTGTCTAGGGGTCATTTACCTTTTAAAAAATTTATTACATCCCTTGATCTAGATGCTATACTTCAGTTGAAGCACCCTAGAATACTCATATTAAGCTTGTGGTCTACTATGACCCCTAGATCCTTTTCACATGTACTGCTAGTAAGCAAGGTGTCCCTCATCTTATATTTGTGCATCTGATTCTTCCTGCCTAAGTGCAGAACCTTACATTTGTCCCTATTGAGATTCATTTTATTAGCTTGTGCCCAATTCTCCAATCTGTTAAGGTCGTTTTGAATTCTGATTCTGTTTGGATAGGGAATGAGGGGGAAGTAGCTGGTGGCTCTAACCACACCTTTCTTGTCTGTTTGTCAGTGAGGACAAGATTGAACTATACATGCAGCAGAATGAGATGGTCTAATCCTGAGCAGGAAGGGTAGGCCATATCACTTCATATTGTTGGCCCGGAAGGCCTGGGAACATGGAACACCATTCCCCTACCCACTGTATTACAATACCCTTCTGCAATTAAAAGTCAAACACACCAGAAAGTAATGCTATAGCCTAGAACCAGAAGTCTGTCTGACCACCTCATTTTGTTGCATACTCTCCCAGTGTCCCTATTTTCCAGAGTCAGTCACAGAATTATGGAAGCCATCCCAGCTTCTGATTTGATAGTGGAATGTCCCTATTTCCAACACCAGTGAGCTCAGGGAGGGGGATGAGCTAGCGCTTGTCCTGAGCAGCAACATTTGTGGCAGTGGCAACTCTGAAGGAGCATCGCATTGCCTCTACATGGCTGCTGCTGTTGGCCTCCTCCCATGGTCAGCTTGTAGCAGCTGCTAGAGAGCAGGTGAGGAGGAGGAGAGGCTGCCACCACCTGGGGGGGGGGGGAGACCAAAAATGGGGGGGGGGGGTTGAAGATTCTCAGTTGCGGAATGAAAAATGTCAATATTTTCATCTGACCAAAACTGCTGGGCATGTTGTTGCATGTGTAGATTAAGTCTCAGAGCCTGGCTCGCTGATTTCTTCTGGAGATGGACCATGAGACTTGTTGCTTGTGAAGTCACAGAATATGAGTGTGGAAACAATACAGTTTAATATTCTAATCCAGCTTGCTTGCATAGACAGTTGAAAAGTCTTGGGTTGATTAAGTTGGTCAGTCATGAAAATGTGCTGATGATAAAGCACAGCCTGAACCCAAATGGACCATTTATCAATGTGATACAGACTTTTTGCAAAAAGTGAACAAGTGACAAGGAGAGTGTACTTAGTGGCAATGCACTGATTCATTACCCCTTAGGGAGTTTGCCAAAGTTACCTGCTATTCAACAAAGAGATTCAAACGTTTTGAAGGCAGTTCGAGGGAGGTCTGTTGCTCAGTTGTAAAACATCTGCTTTGCATGCAGAACACCCCAGGCTAAATCCCTGGCATCTATAACTAGGGTTGGGATAGACCCCTGCCTGGAATCCTGGAGAGCCACCGCCAGCATACACTAGGAATGGGAACTTCCGGCCCTTTAAATGTCACAGCACAACAATCCCCACCAGCCTCATCCAACACGCCCAATGGAAGTTGAAGTCCATCATCATCTAGTGGTCCACAGGATTCCCACCCATGTTGTAGACACCAGTGAGCAAGAGGGACCAATAATATGCTTCACTATAAAGCAGAATCCTATGCACCTAGTGGTAGATAAACAATCAGACCAAGGTGAGAGATAGTAATAACAATTGGTTATTGTTAGGGTTGATGCATACCTAAAAGCACATCACTCAGCATCTGATCACACCAAAACTTCCCACACATTGATTCCCTAAGAGGAGGGGTGCCAATTTAAATAAAATATGGGGGGGGGCAAGTAAGCCCCATCCTGCATAATCAATCACAGAATGTGATGCACATATGCTGTTTGAATGGCAATGCCCATGAGCTATTCAGCTGCAATTTTAAGGGATGATGGTGTTGTCTCACATGTGCACTCCCAGTTGTTGATGATATTGTGGTACTGTAGTATCAGCCTGTGTTGTTCTGCCCAATATTTGTGAGTTAAAGGGTTACTCACTGGGTGCCGTTGACTGTATAGTAACTGAAATTATTCCTTCCTCACATGCAGAGGAGTATTGACCATGTTGAAACAGGACTGCAACAGGGTTCTGCAACATATTACTGGTAGTTCTGTCTTCATACGATTTTCAGCAGATGATGCTCAGAAGGCACAAAATGCAAGGACCTTGCAGAAACTTCAGAGAATGGTAGGACTGAGCATTTGCTGGGTCCCCTAAGTAGCCAAACAATGCACTGCATAGGGCACTTTAGGAAGAGACTTTAGAAGACAATTCCCATTCTCCACGCCTCCTTCTTTTGTAGGTTAAGGAGGCCCAATGAGGATACCTCAGCAGGCCCCACCCCACGCCAGCACAATATACAGCCCTTAATAATGCACTGGACTTACTACCCCAGTTAAGAGCAAAAACATTTCAGCTTACCAATGCCTTATTTCTGCTCTTGCAAAAAGGATTGGTAACAGAAGCGGAAGTTTACTTACTTAATGCCTGAAATCTTAGTCTTCAGGCAGGATTTAAAAGTTGGTGAATTATTTTTATTGGTGTTTTTTTTTAATTCTTGAAATAGAATGGATGTTTGGTTGTTCATATATGATGCTAGTACTGAAAATAAATTGAACTTTAAAGTGGTAAAAAAATAACTTTGGGATAACTCAGATATTATATTGGTGGGGGCAAAGGGACCTCGGTCCCCCAGAGCTGGCTCCTATGATGGAGAGATTTCATGGTTCAGTGGCAGAGCACATGCTTTGCATACAGAAAGTGTGGTATAATTAACCTCATATAACCTACATTATAAAGTCAGATGGATGCATCAAGGGGTTAATGCCATAGAGTAAGCTCTCCTGCAAGGCTTAGCTGGATCCCTCCCCCTCACCTAGCAAAAAAAGTAATCAAACATTTTGTTCTCCTCTCTGTCTACCCGAGAAGCTCAGTGTGTAAAGAGGTCTGAGCTGGTTACTTCAAGCTTAGACTGCATGGCTCTTACAAGCACTTATTGTGTTCTTATACCAATAATTTAGGAACTTTCATGACTATAAGCCAAGTTTTACTGCCTGTGTTTTCTGACTGAAAAGCACATGAACCTGACCTTTGGAGAGTTTGTAAGCTACGGTAACCATTTTTTAACTTAATAGATGTGGGGTCTTTTTCTATGTTGAGGGAAGAGGGAAGTTTTGGAACTGACAATGACATATTTTAAAGGCCCAACAGCCTATATTTCCATGTTTTACCTTGCTGCATATTTTGTGATTTTTAAATCTCTGCTGGGGTTCTCTCACTAAAGAGTATTTGTCCCAAACTTGGATCTTGGCATTCAGGGAATTCTGTTTTTATATCTTCTTCTCTCCCCCCCCCCCCTTGCCATCAACAGCAATTCAGTGGGGGTCACCACACAGTGGTAATCTCATCTGCTTGCAGAAGGTTCCAGATTCAACTCCCAGTATTACCAGGATGAGCTGGGAATGTCCCTGGTCTATGCCCTTCAATGTCCTTGAGCATAAAAAGTTGGGTGGCCCCTGCCCTAGCTAGTGTGCTAATTTACTGCTTTAAAGGAGGAGTTATTGATTTGGTAAAATATATCACCACTCACTTGCAGTCTGAAACGGTACAGTCCATTTTATCTCCCTAGTATTCTGCCACTGCAATCCCAACTCATTCTAGTCCATGTGTAGTAGGGCAGGTTCTATTTAGGCAAATATGCCTTTCCTTTATCAATTCCATCTCTTGGGAAAATCTTCCCTTTCCGTTCACCTCCTTGATTTCTGTCACCTCTTGGCACCAGAGTCTATAATTCTCCATCTCTCTCCACATTGATGGATAGGATTTTAATCTCCCCTCTGTCCTCTCTGCCACTATGCCAGGTCAAAGACTGTTTAAAGGCCCTGGCAATTAAACCAGATAAATAAAATCACATTGCTTATAATTACTGGGGACAATTTGGTTTAATTAGATGTTAAGCTAGCTCGCCTCTCTTCTTTACAGGCCCAGATAAATACCTGAACCTTACATTGGAAGGCGGTCACTTGGAAGCTGTTACGGCTTTGTTGCTCTTTGTGTAATTAATGACCATTAAAATCACTAATTAGGTCGTAAGTTTTAAATAAGTTGCTCTAATTATCACTGGGTGCACAGTGAACTGATTCACTGTGGACAAGGCCTTCAAAAGATGAAGAATGCCATTCAGCGGCTTTGAGGGTTATTTCAACTTCACTATTTGTAGGTCTGCAAAGCAAGAGAGTCTGTGTTAGTAAGCTATTGCAGGGATGATTTGCACAGTTCCTGGGTGAGACACAGGAAGTAAGGCACTTAAACAGTGTCAAGAGGTGTGCAAGGTGGAATTTAAAAGCTGACTGAGGAAGGCTTTGTGTCATTTCTCTAGCTCTTAGCTGGGGACAACAATGGCATAGCATGTGGCAGGGCCAGAGGGGCAGTTGCCCTGGGCACAAAATTGTGATGGTGAAAAATATCAACACACGGTGCTGCCTCAATACAGCTGTGCACTTTTGTCACTGGGCTCCATTGAAAACAGCTTCTCCATGAGAACCAGGAAGTGACCTCTCCAGCAACAGAACAACTCTTCTTTTCTTATGTCTGCAGCAGCACTCTCCTGGGTGATGTGGGCGCCATTAGGCAGTTGAATGTCCATGCATACTCAGTCTGTTTTCCTCCCTTCCTCCCACCCACCACTTCTGCCCCGCCCCAGTGCTGACAACTCACGCTATGCCACTGGGGGACAGTTTTGTGGCACTCTCTTAATGCTTGAATGAGAAAACATTGAGGAAGGATCATGGTGGTCCAACACCAACACCAGTTGGCTAATGGCACACACTCAGCACCCTCCTGTAGCTGAACATTGTAGCAAGCAAACAATATTTCAGGCAAGCTAATTTGTCATTACTAAACCTTCCATATATCTTGGCAAATGTTCATCAGAAATATTGCACATAGACTCTCTTGTAGAATTGAGGCCCAACTTGCAACATCTAAATTAGTAGCTCTTCAGCAAGGGCACACAAAAGCTGTTGGAAGAGCCACTTCATATTACTGGCACCATTATAATGATGGGTGAGAACAGCAGAGATGGCAGAGGGGAACAAGTATTCATAATTGGTTTAATTCACACTGCAATGGGAATGGCTATGTGTATTGGTGAAAGGGTTTGATTGGAAGACTCCACTGAAGCTAAATTAAAAACAAAAAAAGGATCCCTGAAGTTTTACCAAGTTGAGAATTAACCAATGTTGTTTTCTGCTAGCTAACTTGTGAGTGTTTAACCTTAGATCAGGTGATTAAGGTGATGAATTGTAAATCATTATGAAGGAAGTTGCCTTTGGTCTTTGTTCTCAGACTCTATGGGAGTAAGAATGTAAATGAAGGTCTCCAGGTAAATAGCCTCAGGCATGATGCAGGCTGGAATGCAGGCGGTGGGGAGAGTCAGCCTTCTGTATCTAGGTCTTGCGTATTTCATATTTTGTAAGATGCTAAGCCTATGCCTTGGACTAGTATATGTCTTAAGGAACTGTTTGGATTATCATTTGATGTTTCTGTTTTGTTTAGAAGAAAGTGCTGCAAGTAAAGTTTTAATGACACGGCAGTGGTGGAGTTTCAAGCTCTGGCACCAGGGGGCGGAGAGCAGGCGGGGGTGGGGCTGGCACATGTCCCAGGGGTGTGGCACGCCGCCTGCAGGGGCGTGGTGTGTGTCCTGGGGGTGTGGTGCACCACCTGTGGGGCATGGCATCCAGCGCGGGTAGGGGGGCAGCTGCAATGGAACCCCACCGGGATCGCACTGCTGGGGGCGGTACGCTCCCCCGCACTCCTCTTCCTGCACCAGTGATTTACGGGCCTTGACAATGTTTTATTTCTGAAAAGGACTCAGTTTTCATGCAACCAGTCTCTTCAAACTGCACAATATTAATATCTACATCAACAAGATGAATAGGTCATCATGGCAATGGAGGCCTGCATCCCATCCTGCCTTAACAGGAAACCAGAAGTGAAATGGGACTAAAAGGACCACGTTCACTCATGGACAATTTTCTTTGGACAAGATTCCAGTGGTGAGAGGGGTCAGAGGGAAAAGTGGCTGAAGCAATAGATGTGGCTCTTGCCTTTTTACAGTAGGCTACTTGTCAACAATGAGGGACATGGGTGGCACTGTAGGTTAAACCACAGAGCCTAGGACTTGCTGATCAGAAGGTCGGCGGTTCAAATCCCCATGACAGGGTGAGCTCCTGTTGCTCGGTCTCTGCTCCTGCCAACCTAGCAGTTTGAAAGCATGTCAAAGTGCAAGTAGATAAATAGGTACCACTCTGGCAGGAAGGTAAACGGCGTTTCCGTGCACTGCTCTGGTTCAGGGGTCCCTTTACCTTTATTTGTCAACAACACACTTTTGAATTCAATACAGGATTCCATACGCAAGTACACTTTTTGTGCTACTCAATTCTTGCAAGCAAGATACATTATCATAGTGGAAAAAAACATTCCAGCCAGGCTAAAGAACTTGAGAAGGCTGTAAAGCAAAACTTGTAAGAGGTGTGGCCCTGGGGTGAGGGAGGGTAGCCTGACGATGGGCATGACCTGGCGATAGTCTTGGGGGCTTGATAGGAATGCATAGGGAGCCATATTTGGCCCATAGAACTGAGGTTTCCCACCCACAAGCTAAGTAATGAAGGGTTGAAATTAAGCTAGCATCATGTGAGATGATGGTAGTCAACAAAGCTTTCTTGGGGGGAAACTGAAGAAACTGTCACTTCTGTCTCCATTTCCCTAAAGTAAACAAAGCAATCTGTATTGCAACGTATTGTGTGTCTTTGCCAGGACACACAGTCAGAACATCTTCTTCTACCTTGGGACCACTTCTGGTATTTCATTTTGGGAAGAAGCTGGCAGGAGGGAAGAGGGTTTTCAGAAAATCTCTCTGACCTTTCAAAGAGGTCCCTGTGAGCCCAAGATGTTTACAGGAGTGAAGAATTCAATTACTTGCTACGTGATACTGTTGCGAACTTAGGCTAGATCTCAACGCAGGGGAGAGAAAGATTGTTCCAGATAGATAATATAATTATATCATCACTTGGCTCCTGCATCAAGGCTCCCAGCTAGGATCAAAGCTGCTCTGACAATAGGGCAAATGATGAATTTGCACCATGCACAGTCCTAATGGAGTGTGGGTATGGGTGCATATCAGAAAATGGGGTATACTTCCAGGCTGCTGATGACCCTAATAACTAGGGATGTTGAACAACAGGAGTGGGAGTTTCTCCCACATTACTTTATGGTATGATGGGATTTTTAGTCCTAAACAAACAATGTATATCTATAGGATACCAGCTTTGGGAAAGCTGGTCTAGAACAGTGTGCAAATGACCTTCTGAAATTTTGCTCCATATTTGTAGGCATAAATTGGGGACGGGGCATTTACCAAATTCCTCCGGTGGAAGATGCCCCAGTAGCACAATGGGTCAGTGTGTTTTTCTGTTAACCAAGGAACTCAGGTTCCACTGCAGGCAGGATTCCTGCATTGCAGGGAGTTGGACTAGACCCTTGGGGTCCCTTCCAACTCTACAATTCTATGATTCTCCAACAGTTGCTCATGGGCCAGGCTCACCATTAGCTATGGCAATAGCACAGATTCTTAATTTTTTTCCTGATTTCTTCCGGTTCCTGCAAGTGCCAGCAGCAGCATCAATTGTGCAGCCTGCCTGACCCCCAGTATGCATCCCCTCAACAGTGCCTTGCACCTATCATCCTCCATAAACATCATGGTGAGGAATAATAAAATTGTGGAGAATATTCAAAGGACAATTCTGCACATTTAGCGTCAGGAAAGTAAAATAAAATTGCAGAAATTTTCTCAAGAGGAAAAGTATTATGACAAATTTTGGATCCATTCTATATTTAAAAAACTGCTCAGTTGTGTGGCCTGGTCATGTAATTTTACAGCCATCTATTAAAGTTTTATCAAGAATAAAGGAGAAATATTAAACTAGACTTTTGAACATTCACTTGTAAAGCTTTGTCATTCATGTAGTTTCATGGTGATCAATGAAGAATTATAGGGAGTAAGGAACTACCAGCTCAGTCTGGATGTTGGCTGCACCTGCACAGAATCTTATTTTTTTATATCCTGAAATACAGCTCCCATAATTTAGGAACGGGGAACCTGTGTTCCTCCAGACGTTGTTGGACTACTACTCTCATCATTCCTGACCATGGACCATGCTGCCTGGAATGATGGCAATGCTGGATGGAAGTTGGGGTCCACTGTATTATTTTGGACAGATAGCTGTATAAACCACCTTGTGAACATTGTTGCTGAAAAGCAGTGTATGAACAGAAGGAGGAGGAGGAGAAGGAGGAGAAGGAGGAGAAGGAGAAGCAGCAGCAGCAGCATTCAAGTCCAGCTTTATCAGATGCACAGATGTGTTCAGTGGTGTGCAGTGAAATTTTTCATAGGGGAACTGTTATGGCCAGAGTTGCCAGGTTGCGAGGGCGATGGGGGGGTGTTGTTGTTGTTGTGACATCATGCATGTGAGCATCACACCTTCCTGCCTAAGCCAGGCAGAAGCTTCTCAGGCTTTGGGAAGGAGGCACCAGGGGAACATTTTAGGGACTAGCCTAGTCCCCCTAGTCCACTGACCGCACGCCACTGGATGTGTTGTTTACAGAGGGAAGCAAAACACATTTCTAAAGACTACTCTTTTCTGCTCCGGCTGTCTGTAAGGATATATAGGTCAGTATATTTCTATTTTGGTCTGTTTCCTAGTCATAGTTCCCATCTATCCCATGTATACAATTTCTGCATCAGAAGCATGTTGTTGTTGTTGTTGTTAAAAATAGTGCATGACCATGTTATGCTTGTATTTCTTAACCATATTTTTGGTCCATATTGTATGCATCTTGGGTTATATTTTGCATATATTTTATGGGAATCTATACATAAATGAAATGTAATGAATTAATATTCCATGCACATTTTTTGCAAATTTCTGTATTTTTTTTCATAGATGACCAGCTGCAAAT